AGTTCTTAAAAATAGGCCTACTAAGCAGTATAGGAATGGAGACTTGTAAAGATTGGTAGGCCCATTGACCGGGTACTCAAGGGGGGTACTCAGGGGGGTAGTCAACCGGGTAGTCAAAGGGGGCCGTAGATTTTTGGAGACTTTTAAAGATACGTGTCCTATTTGACCGGGTACTCAAGGAGGGTACTCAGGGGGGTAGTTAACCGGGTAGTCGAAGGGGGCCGTAGATTTTTCGAGACTTTTAAAGATAGGTGTTCTATTTGACTGGGTACTCAAAGAGGGTACTCAGGGGGGGTAGTCAACCGGGTAGTCAAAGGGGGCCGTAGATTTTTGGATACTTTTAAAGATACGTGTCCTATTTGACCGGGTACTCAAGGAGGGTACTCAGGGGGGGTAGTCAACCGGGTAGTCGAAGGGGGTAGTCGATGTTGGAGACTTTTGAAGATACGTATCCCCTTTGACTGAATACTCAGAGTGTACTCAGGAGGGACGGGGATATTTCTAGACATGTAAATGACTTTGCTTTATTCAGTCATACATTTACTTGGTACACTGTGAATTCATACTGTTGAGAGTTTGTTTTATATGTTGCTTTCAAAAGAGCAGTCAAACCAAACGTACATTCCTTTATAAGTCCTGGTTTGGAACTGTGCAAACAGGTTTGCATATGGATAGGTCAGTAACAAACCAGTGTTTCAAACAGTTATTCTTGTCCGACCTTGAGAGGCGAGACAGTTGCACTTTGCCGGGTATTTTTATCACTCAGGGAGTAAATATAGTGTTATTTAATAAAAGAAGCATACTACGTCTACGAACATTTTTTTATTTGTTAGTAAAGTGAAAAAGTTTGATAAAACATTATTTACAATTACATGTACAACACAAATAAATGAAGTTGTTTAATTAAACACAATTTATAAATAGAAAGTAGTTATTGAACTATAATTATCTTCAAAGAAACAAGAATAACTTTTTGAATTAGGTCTTATAAAAGTCAGAAAAGTAGATTGATGAACTAATTTAAGGAATATTTAATTTCTTTGTGTTGTATAGTCAATTGCAAGTTTATACGTCTACACCAGAAGTGCCATCGCCGTCGTCGTCTTCATCAAAGGACCACCTCATATTTACTATGAGACAGTTTCTGGGCCCGATACCTTCATACCGCAGCCGCAAAAAGGGGTCTTTTGTTGTACGCTTCGATAAAGTCTTTGGTTATGAAATCCGTAAATCTTGCTGGGAGAAACGTAGACACATTGACAAATGTTCTTCCGTTCGTATCTTTGTCCGGCATTGACACCTCTGCTGAAATGCACAACCCATAGTTTTTTGACTTTATCCTTTTAAACTTTTCAACGAAGTACAGACAAACATCATGACATACAGAGATGAAACAAAACTTTTCCCCACAAATCATACCCAAGGAACAACATAAACATATGTTTACCATTTTAAAAATACAGGGTGTTCGAGAAACTGGGGTGATGGGTTCGAATCTCAGAGTTTTCAAACGTAAACAATATGTCACGTTGTGCATAATTTTAAAGCTCTAGACTAGACAAACAATTTAGTAAAAAAATAACTCCTTCATTCATTTAAAAATGGCGACCATTTCTATGGAAAATATTAATATTTACAGAATACGCTGTATTTTAGAAACCACTAAACATATTTTCATTCTGTTTGAAAAATTCTTAATCCTCTTGAGTTCAGCTTTAATATTAGATGCGACATGTCAACATTAATGAACTAATTATTTTTTCTATTATATTTTTTATGTTTGTAGCCTTGTAAATGAAAAATTTTAAACGGCAACATTTTTTGTCAAATGGCATATCATTTTGCAAAAACAAACCACTTATAAGTTTAAACCCACCGTCTATCTTTGGTAGTGTTCTAGTAATTAACCAAAAACTCCAATTGCCCAAATAAAAACCACGTTAAACGTGCAGTACTGGATATAAGTGGATGCAGATACACTATTCAATACAGTACTGCACGTTTAACATGCGTTTTTTACGGGCAATAGGAATTATAGGTTATTATAGAAAACTACCAAAGATAGACGGTAAGTTTCAATATAAAAGTTATTTGTTTTTGCAAGACCTTTAAAATTATACGCCCTTGGGCATATGTTGCTTTTTAAAATTTTTCATTTACAAGGCTACCAACATAAAACAATAAAATCATCGAAAATAATTAGTTTTTAAAAAGGTTGACATGTCACATATAAAATTAAAGCTGGACTCACGAGGATTAAGAATTTTTCAAACAGAACGAAAATGAGTTTAGTGGTTTCCAAGATACAGGGTATTCTATAAATATCAATATTTTTCGTACAAATGGCCGCCATTTTGAAACGAATGAAGATAAAGGAGTTCTGTTTTCACTAAATTATTTGTCTAGTCTAGAGCTTTAACATTATGCACAACGTGACATATGTTTACATTTGAAAACTCTAAGATTCGAACTTATAACTCCCCGTTTCTCAACACCCTGTATTTTAAAAATGGTAAAAAAATTGTATGTTGTTCCTTGGGTATGAATTGGTGGGAAAAAGTTTATATCTGAATTGCAAACCGTTCGTCTGTAATCTTTTTAGGACAGATTAGAAGACTCACCCTGTCACGAGTGCAAAATGCCTTTTCTGCACTTGCAACTTTGCGCACGAGTAGCAGGTGAGTGCGCAAACATTTCTCTCGTGTGCAGCAAAGTGCCACTTCACCCACTAGTTAACAAATAACTATTTATCTCGGTGTCTTTTACTTTGGTTTTAGCCCTGGTCAGTATGGAAGTATTGACCATTGTATCCGGTCTGCTGTACTCCAGCCTAGTGTTGGTAGTCAGCCTATATTGCTGGTATCGATGGAGGTACAGAGATCTACTGAGAGTCGCTTCCAAACTACCCAGTGCATCCCGACCCTTGCCTCTGATTGGAGATGTACATGCAGCACTGTGGGGGCTGGAGAGTAAGTAATTTGAAGATATAAGTTAAAAAATATTAAACACAAAATAATATTCAACAATGGTAAAATCAGTATTTCTTATTGAGAATCAATCCAAATAAATTGAAAAACTTGTGGAAGGGAGTTCAAATGTGTTTTAGTGAATCGATATACATTTTATAGATTAATGTAATGCGTTTTAACACTACCTATATAAATTACAGAGAGGTATATTTAATTAAGTGACTGACTAAGGATATTTAAAAGAATTTAAATGTGTCTACAGAAAACAAAATCTGATTCTTCAGTCAGTATTTGTTGAAATACTAATTATTCTTATTATTTATTACTGAAAACTAGTTTTAAGTGTTTATTATTTGCTTCAGATTTTACAAGCTATATTCTTGAAATGTCAAGAAATGCTGTTGCACAAGGCTTGCACACTGTGTGTTTGTGGATCGGACCGTTGCCTTATCTGATGGTCCATGACATTGACGACATAAGGGTAAGGTTTCTAAACATTATGTACAGTTAAATTTTAAAATTAACTGAATGTCTATAACTGTTTTGTATTTAAAAACATGGTGCTTAGTGGCCAAGGATCATTTGCAGGATTAAATGGCTTAATTTGCCGATCTGTCGGTAATCCTTTTGTCATAACCAACCGATTTAGAGGTTAAAATTTCATCAGGCTTCATCAAAAGTCATATGAAGTTGAGGTTGAGGGCGTCATAGGTGAAGATGATGTTGGATTTAAAAGAGGCATGTTTATTTTAAATATGCTGTGACTTATTCTTTATTAATTTGCAGATCTCGAATTCTAAGCAGTCTTTATTGTTTTAGATTAAATTTGCTCTTAACATTGTTTAAATGAATGTCTGGCCAATGTAATGCAGGGTTATTAAAAAAGATTGGTACAAAACTAAACTGTTGGTACGTCCATTGTTAGTTATAAATATATTCCAATACTCTGTTTAAATAGTCAATAGAGGTGTAAATACCTTCAAGCACAACCATTAAATAAAACTGGCAGAAATAGCGTTAGATAAACTTATATCGGATCTAAAAAATCCAGTCAGCACTGCTTCATGATATAGTACTTGGGTTCTGAAAACAGCACCCACTTATACCCGTTACACTTGGTTACAAAATCACTCATTGTATAATATAAATGCCTCTATATCACAGATAAGCACACAAGAAACATTCGACGGAACACTTATGTGGTGTCTAGCACTAGTCGTTGGTGTCTAGGGCAAAGGCCAACCACCTCCACTAGATCAATTACTACAACGCTCACAGTAGAGTATGACCACGTGCCCCGCCCCGCACAGTGCCACAACCTTCCTTGCTCTTCACAAAAGTATATTTTCGGCACTGAATTCTGAAGTTGAAAGCACACGCTCGACCTATAAGCGTGTTTCCTGTGTACCTTACTTATCTACGACTTTATGATGCAAATTGTAGCTAAGGTTAACATTATTACTTGCTGATGCCGTTGGATTCTGTAGCGAGTTTTGGCACCATATGTAGCGTTAGCAAGACGACGGTGGGTAATGTGGGTGAGCGTTATGTAATGACGGTAGATGATGTGATATGGTACTGTGAGACTAATTTAAGCGTGCTGATTCTGCTACCAAATGATTTACATGAAAGACGTGTTGGGGACCAGAGGACGGAGATCTTTTACTGGAAGCTCGCATAGCCATCTTTGATTATTATCCTAATACAAGTAAGGGGAAGGCGTTCTCTTGCTCGCGGTGGGCTGACGAGTTAGACATGCAGCCCTGCCACGCAAAGCGCTGACACTATAAGAAATATAGCGTGCCGCTATGCGTCACAATCTGAAGCTAGATATTTTTTTCCACCGGTTAACATTTCCAAAGTGGTCACTAGAGTTTGTTTGATGAGCCATATTACTTGATACAATGCTTAACTACAATTTAATAATGAATATTATACCCTCTGAATTAGTCTTTGAAAGGTATTGTATCTTAGGTGGTGATGAAAAGCTCAAAAACTATTGACAAAACACAGGAGTATGACTTTATAATGATGGGACTGGACACAGGAGCCGGCCCTGTCAATTATAGCGTGCTCACGGCTCCCGGTAAGTATAATTCTGTTTTATAACATATCCGTATCAATCCATTTACGTTTAAAACACAAATCGTTATTCAAAGTAAAATGCATAACTTGTAAAAAATAATACATCAACGTATTACATTAGTGATTTTAACCTAGTTTCTAGAAGATAAATTAAGAAGTTGAAAACAAATTTTATGGGTCTAAAACTAGTTTTTATTTAGTATTAATTTCCTTATATTAATTTTCTTATGTATCAGTTACGGAAACGAATAATTGTAAAGTATTACAGGAGCTATTTAAAAACTAACTACTGCCATGATTTTCTATAATGATATTTAAAAAGGGAATAGTTTTGTGATATTATTAAGGAGATATTTTAGTGTATGGCATTCAAATTTCAAATTCAATCAAGCAAATGGAAATTCGCATAGTCTGTAGGTTTGCTGCGGCGGGGGCATTTATATATATGTATCTAAATATATAAAAGGCAAAGCCCTAACTGACTCACTGACTCACTCACTCATCACAAATTCTCCCACTTCCCATTTACCTAGGAGGCTGAAATTCAGTACACCTATTCTTTGGGCATTAAATAGGAAAACTAAGTAGTTTTTATTCTGATCGGGCTTTCGGGCTCCGCCCCAGTGGCTCTGGAGTTTTCCATCTTAACCTTATGATTTTTCATATTTAAAAGGAATTAATGAATCTTAACAGCTGTTTCAATTAAACAAGTTGATTCTGTTCTATGATGTTCAATAGCATTAAAGTTACAATGATGACCAACAGGGTGCAGCACTAATATTTTTTTAATGTATGACAACAGCTAATTTGCAACCAAAAGGTGAGTGAGCGTAGCGAACGAACTTCAACCTGGAGGCGAGTTAGCGTAGCGAACGAGCTAACCTGAAGGCAAGTGAGCGCAGCGAACGAGCTCCAACCTAAAGGTGAGAGAGCGTAGCGAAAGAACGTCAACCAGGACGTGATTGAGCCATGCGAACGAGCTCAATAGTTTTATTAATACTTATGAAGTTAAACGGGGCAAAGCTCGTGGGTACAGCTAGTAATAAATAAATAATGGTGTAAAATTGTCCAGCTGATCATTATGTAAACAAATGTGTTCTTCATGATGATAATATAGGAACCTTAAAGGCCACTGGGGCAGAGCCCAAATGAAGGGTTTCCTCAATTTAAGTGTCTTGTCAGACCAGACGTAAACTCAATGAGATCTTTTAAAAAAGTTGCAAAATAAAAAAGTCGGTTGAGATCACACGGAGGAGTTACGAAAAGAAACTTCGCGTTTGCCTATTGATATACACTTATTAATTGCATGGAAAACACTTTAAAATCCACAACCAACCCACAATATCTTGATTTTTAAACTCATTTAACGAATACAAAAAGCGTTTTTCAGCAAAAGACCAATTTTCAAGCTACAAAAATTAAAAATAATATTTTGATTGTAACTAATTCAATAAATATTCACAACAATGTTTAATAAATAACAATTTAAATACAATGAGCTGTTATCTCAACTTTAATAGTGTAAATTCAAAAGTATTCACCTGTTCGAACATAACCAAATATTTTCTCCAAAAGGATACATGGGAGCCTTTTAAAGACCTCTAGTGCAGAGCCCTGTTGTATTTTCTTGAAAACGCTTCTTATTGCACATATAGAGTTTAACTGGAATCACCATTCCAAGGTCCATTTTTATATTATAGTGATCAATGAGTCAGGTGTAAGAAATATAATTGCTTTTCGTACATATAGATTTCCTAGTCATGAATTATGTCACAATATAATTCTAATTTTCAACTAGTTTTATAATGATATTTATCCATTGTTTCCTGAACGGTGGTTTTTAGCTTATTTCTTAGCTGCAGTTACATTGAATTTATCTTTTATTGTTAGCAATGACATCAATATGCAAACTGATGAACAACAAGTAAATAAATCCTAATATCAAAATTTAATCATATAACCCCTTGATAATTCCAATTTTAGGCCCAGTTTGGAAGCCAATTCGAAAAATGATGAATGCAATGTTTAGTCCTCGCAACTTGAACCTGATGATGCCAGTTTACAACAAACATTCTCGCTATCTCATCAACAGACTGTCCACTGAGGTGGGCAATGGACCGACTAAAGTCAACATGATGGAGTATATAAATGACGCCGCATTCATGATAATCAACGGTAACGCTCCATGGTAGAGTATGTTCCTTCATTATAATTATATTTATTTTTCGTAGGCATATCAGGCTTAACTTCCTACACATGGGAGCGAGTTAGTCTAGTGGTAGAGTGTGGGACTTTGGCCCTGAGATCTCGGGATCAAATCCCGTCAAATCACCAATGAATTAGATTTAAAAGATAATGGTATAACCCCAGGTATATTCTAAAGTAATGTGATAAACGATCATTGTTAATCAATCACATAAATATTTTTTTATAAACAGTGTTTTTCTCCTTGTCACATTCAGCTCTATTAACAGAAATGTATTTTTAAAATCTAGATTTGTTTCAGTGCTCCTTCTAACATTTTCATATGTGGACGTGCTTACGGATTCGTTAAGTTATTGAAATATAACATCTATCTATATATTAATAGGCAAGCATGTTTCTTTAAAACCTTTTTTCTCAGCTCGTGTGAATCGTAGGGAAAATCTACGCATACCGTTGGAAAGCTATTTTCCTGTAGGTGTGCAGAATCCCTTTATAAATTTAAATAGGCTCAAAGATAAGCACAAAAAATGAGTTTAAAAATTTGAAAAAATTTACATGGATCTTATGCGTTGCTATGCTGGTTACGAAATAACAACGAAATATAAACAGAAAATCAAAACAAATGGAGGAAACTCCAATCACATGTTTTATTTACAGTGTGGGGTGAAAATAGATAAGTGAGTACATTACATATTTTTGGTCGAGTTTCGACCTCTCGTTTAGAATAATAATAAACACACCATTCATCATAAAAAAGTATTAGTCATTTAATTCTGTTTGTTTACCAGATTTCGTATTCGGACACGATAACAACATTGATGTTCATTCTGAAGAATTTAAAGCATTGGTAAAAACTGAGGAGAGGTAAGTTTTTCTTTTCAAGAAAGACAAGGTAAAAACACACCCTGGAAAATTATTAGCTAACAGAAAAAGAGATTTTAACGAGTATTTGCTGTAATAATATTTGGGCCCTATGATATATTTCAAGTTTTATACATGTATTAGGTTCTACCATGAAAAAATATAATTCTATTCCGAGTTGCACTACCTAGTTTTAAAGTGAGCATAATTGAAATTAGCCATCATCTTAATGGGAATCATTACAAATTTATGTAAAATGCAAAAACTGTTGAACTAAGACCACCTACTAAAACATACTGCATAATCGTTTTACCACATAAACTAAAACTAATGTTGGTAATTCAATTGTATACGGTATCTCCCTTTTAAGGAATCTCATTATTTGTTTTGAATAGTACAATTAGAAATGTCATCCTTTGTAAAATGTACAGTCTGTTACTGTGTGTTTCATGTTGAAGATCTGGTTTGAGTTCCAAATGTTTATTTCAATTTTAGGGTGACACTTTTGTTTTGCTCAACTCTTCTAACTCCTACCATTTAGATAAACAAATGGTTAAACAGATTTTTACAATAATATAAAATTAAAACCGTAATCCAAACTCCAAGTTTTATTTTCATCTTCGAAGTTTTTACCTGCAACCAGAAAGTGAAGTTGTCGGCTTAGCCAAAAACTAGGCTGGTCTCGTCGGGCATTTCGACTTCTAATAAAAAAATAGTATGGTATAAAATAATAATAAACTTGCAATTTACCATAGAATTATGTAATTAGTGCCACTATTTTAGTATTTGGATTACTTAGTACCATTTTTGTTTTTTCATTTTTCATATTATAATAATAGGTCACTAACAACGTGCTTAAACTATTATACTACTATATTAAATATTGTTCTTGTATTTGCAGAATTACAATACTCTTTATGAACCGTTTTATCAAGCCCTGGTTAAGGTGGCAACCTCTATTTGAATTGTTTAACAAGAAAGAGATAACTACAATTAACAAATTTTTAAGTACATTTTTAGAAAAACAATTGAAGGTGAGTAAAATATCCCCCCTCGTTTTTTGTTAAGCTATTAGCAATACATATACAGTATATAAGTAAATACAGTGATTTCTTATTGATTAAGAAATAGTCATTCCAAACCAGAATCATGTCCGTAACATTCGGTAGTTCGATATAAAGCTACCTGGAGAATATTTTAATAATACAAACATAGCTTCTCGGCTGTCCTCGGAATTTTGGTATCTCAAAGCTGCAAGTTTGAATGGTGAGTCCACCGTGTACCTATTACTAAATTACCTAAGGTGCATCCTCCAAATATCTTTTACGGCATAACCTAAGGCAGGGCTATCCAACCTTTTTTACTCAAGGGCCACATTGACAATTTTTGGAGGAAAAGCGGGCCGGGACGTCAATGTTTCAGTGTAGAAAAGTAGCCCACCTCAAAAAATCCCACAAAGAGTTGTTTTTCTAATTCAGCTCAGCAAAGAAGTTTCGACATTTCTTGCAGATTTGTTTATGCTATATTACTTTTTGACTAACTAAAATTCACTAGGTTTTTATGCGAATGATGCTGTGACCAATCAAAATAATTTAACTACTTCTCATATTTATTTATGAGTAGGCCTATATGAAATTTGGTTGACATAAGTATACTTTGTTATCCTTATAATTAGACCAATTCGTATATACCAAGGCAAAAATATGGTTAAGATTCCACTATAAACTTCAGGTCCCTTAATTGCCATTAGCTGTATGGTCTATTAATTAACAGCTGTGTCAAAGGAATATGTCGGCCTTAGTCACTAACAAGACTACAAGATCGCGCCACTCATTCTACACTCATCTCCATTCATTCTTGGCTTAAAATACCTACTTTGTATGGTGGCCATTTCATTGAAAAGTATTTACAAAAAAGTATTAAAGTATGATTATTCGAATTCAAAAGAAAGTTAATATAAATTATTTTACAGTATATTTACGATGATATTGGTATTTCTTCTATACAGGTAATGGAAGTTTGCGTGACTGATGAAAACACGAGACGACACAACACCAAATATTATCGATGTAGGCATACTTCTAAGTTTACTTAATTGAACATGATATCTTGTATTTAATGTCCTCCGAGTAGTTATACAGTAACACCCAAGGTGAGGATCCCTAGTAGCTATAACGGGGTAGCTCAAAATGCGTCTCCCAAATAGTTATAACACAAAAGGTGAGGTCTCCGAGTAGCTAAAACGGGGTAGCTCAAAATGCGTCTCCCAAATAGTTATAACACACTTTTCTACGGTGTGGACTCCGAGTAGCTATAACAGGATAGCCCAAGGTGCGTCTCTCAAATATTTATAACACTCAAGGTGAGGTTTCCGAGTAGCTATAACGGAATAGCCTGAAATGCGTCTCCCAAATATTTATACCACTCAAGGTGAGGTTTCCGAGTAGCTACAACGGAATAGCCTGAAATGCGTCTCTCAAATATTTATACCACTCAAGGTGAGGTTTCCGAGTAGCTATAACGGAATAGCCTGAAATGCGTCTCCCAAATATTTATAACACTCAAGGTGAGGTTTCCGAGTAGCTATAACGGAATAGCCTGAAATGCGTCTCCCAAATATTTATACCACTCAAGGTGAGGTTTCCGAGTAGCTATAACGGAATAGCCTGAAATGCGTCTCCCAAATATTTATAACACTCAAGGTGTGGACTCCGAGTAGCTATAACGGGATAGCCCAAGGTGTGTCTCCCAAATATTTATAACACTCAAGGTGAGGTCTCCGGGCAGCTATAACGGAATAGCCTGAAATGCGTCTCCCAAATATTTATAACACTCAAGGTGAGGTCTCCGAGTAGCTATAACGGGATAGCCCAAGGTGTGTCTCCCAAATATTTATACCACTCAAGGTGAGGTTTCCGAGTAGCTATAACGGAATAGCCTGAAATGCGTCTCTCAAATATTTATAACACTCAAGGTGTGGACTCCGAGTAGCTATAACGGGATAGCCCAAGGTGTGTCTCCCAAATATTTATAACACTCAAGGTGAGGTCTCCGGGCAGCTATAACGGAATAGCCTAAGATGAATCTCCCAAATATTTATAACACTCAAGGTGTGGACTCCGAGTAGCTATAACGGGATAGCCCAAGGTGCGTCTCCTAAATATTTATAACACTCGAGGTGTGGACTCCGAGTAGCTACAACGGGATAGCCCAAGGTGCGTCTCCCAAATATTTATAATAGAGTAGATATCACATTATAGCCTAGGATGAAGCCCCAGAGTAGCCATCACGGGATACCCCAGAACGAAGCCAAAGAGTAGCTATTACGGGATAGCCCATGATGAGGCCATAGAGGAAATAAACGGGATAACCCATTTTGAGGACCTAGAGTAATAATAATGAAATAGCCTATGGTCACACCCTAGAATACTTACGATGGCCAAAGACGAGGCCCCAGATTAGTTATGATGGGTAGCCCAAGGCTAGGCTGTTGATAAGATTTCATGATAAACCCAATGCGAGGCCCCCTAGGCGAGTAAGTATAATGACATAACCCCAGGCTAGGCCTTAGAGTAGATATAATGGAATAACACATTACAAGGCCCTAGAGTGTCCATCGTTTCTGTCTATCGAGGGTGGGTGTTCTAACAGACTCGTTTTCATGTTGTTGTTTTACTAAGTTTTAAGATACTGTATATCTGTATAGCCGTTGTACCATTTTATACCAGCAACCTTTGTTTTAGGACTCTCAGAAGCATCACGAGCTGAAACTAAATACGTCAACGGTCATAAAAAATGATAATGACGACAAAAATAGCAACGATGGATTCTTAAGTCTTCTAGACGTGTATAGACCCTTCCAGGAAAGGAATCCTCTGTTTACAGAAGCTGACATGAGGGCAGAAATTTGTATTTTGTACGCAACGGTAAATGGAACGTATTTCTAGAAAAGAATAATTTCGAGAACTCATTATTGCATTGGATTCTTAAAAAGATAACTACTTATTCTATCGGTTATTGCCTAAGAAAATTAAGTAATAACAAACGAGAATTGAGTAGAATTGTTCATAGATTTTGTTTCAATATGTCACTGGTTTTAATTCCTAATATACATTTTGTTATAATAAAAATACAGCTGAAATATATTACCATATCGTTCAGTAGTGTAGAGTTTTTATAATATTCTTAATATAAAAAAAATACACTCCTTGGGAGCCAATAGTATGAAAAAATATACGAAACTAAAATACCATTTTAAATATTGATATTTATATTGTGGTATTATTTTCTAGGGAACTGACACGGTTGTCAACCAAGCATCGCGTTTCCTCATGGCTATGGCACAATATCAAGAATACCAGGTACAAACAAATCAGATTTATACTAAACTAGTACATCTAATTAGAATTCACAGTGAAATGTTCTTGTCTTGTTGTGTATTTATAATATAGTTACTACAATAATTTTTATATTTTAAATTTTTGTCAACCATCTTGTATGTTAGTATTTATAGTGTTTATACATCAAGTGTTTATAGATTCCAGTAAAAAAGGTCATTTTTCACATTTTGTTTAAAAAAAATAAAGTTTTATAATTTAATATCCATTCTAACTTTGTATAACTATTTTATGTACAAAATGTTTAGAAAAGCATGATACCTTTTGAGTCAGTGTACCAGTCCATACAACGCTGGTAATTTTTGTTTAGGCCAGCCAAAGTATTGAGTTTTAAATGTTTTTGTGTAAATATAAATGTTTCGTGTGTCAGTGTGTGTATGTACTACATGTGGAATGCAACGACCGATGCTTTTAACAGTAATTAACAAGGCAGAAGATTTAACAATGGGGCTGTTGGCCCCGAAACTCATGGAAGTTTATAAGTCATGGAAAAAGACGACTTGAATTGTAAATTATTTAACCTATTATTAGTACTCTTTATAAGACAACCCACTCTTTGAACTCTTTGTTTACAAGAGGCGAAACAGGGATAAGTAATACCATTGATCATGTATAGAGAGTAGTTACATAATTTGTTTATAGGTACAAAACTATACAAACTATATAAATGTATAATCAAATACATTTTTTACAAAAAGCATAGGCTCCAATAAACATATTTGTATTGTAAATGCCAAAGGACAAGCTGTATGAAGAGATCACCTCAGTTGTTGGTCCTGATGATGACGTCACCACAGATGATATCCGTCAGATGATCTACCTTGACCAATGCTTCCAGGAGGCCCTTCGTAGAGACACCTTAGTCCCTTTAATCATAAGGAAAACCTCCGAAGAAATCAAACTGAGTATGTTTTGTGCCAGTTGAAATTAGCTTTTTAACTACTAACTTAGTAAAAGTAACTTGTAATTAGTCGTTATTTTTTAAATGCATTGTAGACATTTCTGGTGTAGTACACATTTTTCATTGTTTTTAGGCTACTATAAATTTAATTTGTATTGAACCTTTGTCTTTCTGATATCTATTGAACTCAGACAATTCATAAAGCCCAATTGTCAAGCCAATCGTAATGCAAAAATAAAAATTTAATAAACCTCACTTATGTAAATATGTGGAAATTTGCATTAGATTATGCAATTGTTTTACTTCTTCTTCTTTCTTCCCTAACTCATTTTCGTTTACTTCTATTTATGGTGAGTTGCTGGCTTGATTGGTAGCGCCACGGACTTTGTGCCCAAGACAGCGATTTCATGGGTTGGGATCTGACACTATTTTTTTTCAGTACACGTCCCCTTGTACTGTACTGGCTCACCCCTTTCGTTGCAGAATAAGTTTCATGCACAAGCCTCTGTAACCATTTTAGATGGGCTAATGTAAGCTAAAAGAGGTCACGGACTGTTTCAAAAATATAATTATCCATGCAAAGTACTACTTTACTACCACCCACACTGCAAAAGAACAAAAGTAAAATAAAAGTAATTGCTATGTTTTCCAGGTGATTGCACTGTGCCAGCCAATCAAAGCATAATTTTGTCACTCTATGGAGTCCACATGAACCCCAAGATATTCCCTAACCCTGAACGGTTCGACCCTGAACGATACTCACCAGAAAACGTCGCATCAAGAGGCAAACATGTCAACGTAGCCTTCAGCGGAGGACCAAGGGACTGCATAGGTAATGGACAAGCCATATATGCTCCTAAAAAGTTTGTTATATCACATGTATTGACCAGTTCGTATTGGTTGTCTAATCCCATATTTGTATATATATCATTTTTTAACTACGTCCCAGGGCAAGTTAAATATTTGTTTGCTAGAAAAGAAAAGACATCGGCAAACCCCATGTCAAGTTCAATAAAAAAAAGATTACTTCCCTTTTCTTTAAACCTTGTTGGACATGTATTTTACAATACCCATGTTATAACCTTGTTGCAGGCAAGCAGTACGCATCGCTTTTCATCAAGGTCTTGGTGGTACAAATTCTGAGAAAATACAAATTGACACCTGTAGTGGATGTACACAAATTGCGGGTGAAACTGCGCATCGTTTTAAGCAGCATGGAGGGATACGTCGTGGAGATGGCGCCTCGTCGTTAACACATTTTAATAAGCTAGTATAGGGCTTTACAGATAAAAAATGAAGCAAACTAAAGATAAGTAGTGATATAAAATATAAGTCCTAGTATAAATACTTTATAAATTTGTTTGTATGGTAGATTGTATTTTAGATGAAGAAGAAATTAAATCTTTATGTTATCAGGATATAGTGGAACTGACATCTTTTAGTAGAGACGTTAGGTTGAAACATTTTGTTACTTTTTACATTTAATCTTACTAATATTATAAATCTGAAAGTTTGTGAGTTTGTGTGTGTGTTTGTTGCTCAATCACGCATAAACTACTGGACGGATTGGGCTGAAATTTGGCATGATGATAGCTCACATTCCCGATTAACATCAAAGCATATTCTTATCCCAAAAATCCTTTCGGGCTCCGCCCTAGTGGCTCTGTAGTTCCCCATGTTAACCTTATGATTTTTCATATTTAAAAGGAATTAATGAAACTTAACAGCTGTTTCAATTAAAGAAGTTGGTTCTGTTCTATGATGTTCAATAGCATAAAAGTTACAAGGATTACCAATAGGGTGCAGCACTATTATTTTTTTTTTTAATTTATGACAACAGCTAATTTTCAACCAAAAGGGGAGTGTGCGTAGCGAACTAACTTCAACCTGGAGGCGAGTTAGCGTAGCGAACGAGCTAACCTGAAGGCAAGTGAGCGCAGCGAACGAGCTCCAACCTAAAGATGAGTGAGCGTAGCGAACGAACTTCAACCAGGACTTGAATGAGCCATGCGAATACTTATGAAGTTAAACGGGGCAAAGCCCGCGGTACAGCTAGTTAAGCATATTTAAGAAACACTGAAATTAATTTGTACTGCTATATAATAACTACATTAAGTACTTGGATGAAATTGTGTTTACAGAGGTTAATATAAAACAAAGTCTTACTGATCTTTTCAATTTGGATAATTTTGATGTTTATTTATTTATTTATAAATGGTTGCACAATTTTTTACAAGAAAAATTCAGTGGTCTTACAGAGAGAAGAATCAGAGTAAACATAGTTAATCGTAGTTAACTAAAACTCGCACTGTCTTTGCGATTATCACAGGCCAGTTCAAAAGTAGGGAAACAACTGGAAAACAAGACTTCAATAACAAGACATAAAAGATAAATAATAACTGTAAATAACAAACTATCTTAACAAGTTAACAAAACAAAATATTCGAAAAACAAAACCAGTATAACAACAACAACATAGAACAATAATGATAGTTGTGCAGTAAAACCTAGTAAAACTTTAGTAAAAGAGGCAGAACAATCTTGATGAAAAACAGATAAAACTTGCGGAAAAATAACAATATGATATACTCTGTACAATAACAAGATAACAACAGTAACAACAGAATAGACTGTATTAAGAAAAATAAATAACAATGCAACACCACTAAATAGAAAGTTTAGAAACATGCAAAGATAGAAACAGCAAACCGATGCCAACACACGGATAACCCCAGGATCCCCTCTGACCCCACACTATTGACATAGACTCACTGAACCACCATGAACACTTCCCCACAGAAGTGCCTCGTTTGCGTTGAGGCTAGTTGTATTAAAGAATGGAAGTCGCTCTCCGTTTGAAGGCAGCTGAGCTCAGGCGAAGAAATCCAGATGAGAAGCTACCATGTTGCCAAGACGCGTCGATCTGGGAAGAGGAGAGTGTTGTAGATAGTTGTAGGGATAAGATCTCTTGTAGAATAATGTTGTAATGATGTTGTATATAATTTGAGAATACACAGTAGTGTGGAGACGTTTGTGCTTTCATAAAAAAAGACACCATTAAAACATATCATATGTACAAAAGTCAAGTTTTGAGCATGTTATTTTAAATTGATTTTAAGACGATAGATATGTCTATTTGTATGTTGCTGTTCATAAACCACCTATACTTAATGAGAAAGTTTTCATAAATAAATTAAATGAAGTATTAATGGATATTAAAAGTAAATATATTATTTCGCTTGGAGATTTTAATGAAAACTTAAAAGAGAATCTTTAAAGCAATTTTAATGAATGGCCGGAGTAGGGGTGGAAGGTTCCAGAGCTGATCTAACTTATTAAAGGGAGCTGCTTCGATGTGGGATTGTTAGTTCAAGAGTGTAGATGTTGTACAGTATCAAGGTGTCAAGACCTGGGGTGGATTCCTGCAGCCTAATCAATGAGTAGTAAGTTTATTTTATTTTATTTAATTTGAATTTATTTACTTTTATCCATCCATAGGTGTTTTCTTATTAAATATTTAATATTGCCTTCAATTATTGCCTTCAAAATATAGGGTCGCCTCTTTTGGTTTACCTTAGTAGGATAGAACGATGAGTTTCTAATATAAATACAATAATTCAATTACAAATATTCTCAGGGAGGGGAACTCGGCTGACTCAAAAGATCTTCAAATATTTATTAACATACAATAATATTTGCCAATTATTTAAAACTAAAATGGGGATAATTAATTGATATTGCTCTTAGGCTTGGTTAGTTAGGTTAAATAGCCCAACGATGAATTGATTAGGTTTTAAAGTTAATAGTTTAATGGGTAAAGTCTTGCTCAAATTGTTTTTTTTTATTATTCTTGGTGATATAGAGATAAAGTGTTTTAATTAGAATTTGGTTTGATCAGATTGAAAATAAAATAAGTCTTTGCTTAATTTCTTCAAGTATGCCTTATAATAACAAAATGGAGAGTTCTTACCAGGTTTGTAAAACTCTATAAACCTTTTGCTGGGGTACACCAGGAAATCTAACAGTTTTATATGAAATAAAAGTAAGTTACTATTTGTGGTTGATAGGACTATTTTGCTAGAAATCCCGAAATGGAAACTTTTGAGGACTGTTTAACGGTTTTTTTAGTGAAGCCCTTTCAAGTGACACTTTATTTTTAATATCTTTATTTTAGACGTCTTTATCTTGACGCAGTGTGATTAGGTGGTCATATGAAAATTAATTGGCATTTTATAATGTATTTTATTTAATTTTTAACATGAAATGTATGTTTAATTGGTTTTGACATGATAGCTATGTTGTAATTGGTTTGGATACAAACTTGTAGTTTTCACCGATGTTTTTATTTTGTAAAGGCCTTAAATATAAAGTGTCATTCGATTGGGCTTTACGTTTAGACATTTTGAACTGACCAAAAAATACCCCGTGTTAGTGTCCCGGTAATGATTGTCACACGAACCAATAAAAACACGATTATGCTACTGTTTTTATGTAACCAATTTTAAAATTTAAGAGGAATAATTCACACTTTTTTCTCATTATGCACATACGCTACGTAAGCCATTTAATTATATTTTATGTAATATGAAATACTACAGGGTAAAATAATCCGGAACAAAAATTTGAAAAAAGTCTGATACGAGTTTACATCCGTAATTAAATCATTTTAACTTGTTTTAGCTTATTTATTTTTTCCTTATAATCCACACTGAAAATTAAATAAGTATTCCATTTTGTAAATAAACAGTTGCAACTTTGCAATAACTCCTTGAAATATACTAAATTAATACTTAAGTTTACTATTTTAAAAATGGTTGTAAACTAAATCTAATTTAAATATTATTTTTAACGTTCAAGTCATTTATTTTTTAATACTAGAATATGCCATCATTTAAATAAGGTGGAAGATTATGACTTTGAAATTGTACACCTACATTTTTTTTACAAACACTTTTTTATCAGCTAAGTGAGGAGGTCATATTGACTGTTTACAGGGGTTTGATATCTTTTCGATAGTGACATCACACCTAATTATTAGTATAATCATAGGCTAATGTTTTTCAACCCAAACAACTGAAGTTGTAAGTTCTAAAAATACTTACAAAGATTTCCCATTAACATATTTGTAAGGATTACAGTATTTCTTCCAAGCAATATTTAGAGAAATATTAACTAAGGCATGGAAAGTAAAACATTCTATATTTCTCCATTTACTCATATTTTAACATTTAAGTAGCCTAAGTTAAAATAAATAAACATATATAATTGAAAGTTACACGGAGCTAGAAATGAAGGAACGGCCATGGCTTTTAAGGTTCGTTTTAAAATTGCTGAAGAAGCTATTATTTATTCAAAAGAGGAAATGGAGAATACAGGTTGAAGTGAAACTTATCACCAACTTCGCATTATATCCTTGTTTACCCAGTAAATCACGCTTACAATAAGTCCTTAGCTCTAATCCTGTTTGTCTCACAAAAGAAGATTTACTGTATTTCCTTTTTTACCAAGTGTGTCAACAGCTAGAACAAAAGGAAATGCATTAGCATATGAAAATCAGCTGGAATGTATAACATGTTTTCTGTTTTGTACTCAGCAATTAATCTTTAACTTTTGGTAGCAGCTACTGGTTTTCCATTTAACTCTTCTTATTTGGTTATTAGTTAGGCGTGATTAGACCTAAACATCAGCATCCAAAGTGAAATTTTTACTCCAAACTGTTCAATATAGTCCGTATTTTGTGCCTAAGGTTACACAATTTTGAGCGTCGGGTTAGGGGGAGAGGGGTTTAAGTAGAAAAATTGGTAGTGGTTTAGATTTTTATGAAATATCTCGAAAACTATGTGGTTGGCACAAAATGCGTTATTTACAATTAGCAATCAAGGATGGCCAGTTTCATAATCTTGTTAAGGTAAATGGTTAAAGAGCGACAAAAGATTAAAAAAAATTTAGTGAGTTATGTTTATCAATCAATCGTCATGAGATGAGACGTCAATCAATGGGAATAATTATCGATAAGATGTGCAATGTCAAATCAGCATTATGTCATGCTGACATGCCAATAATAGGCCTACAAATATCCTACTCCCAATCCATGGAAATATTAATATTGTTTATGAATAAATGGTAACATAAACGAATATCATCCACATACGGTGTAAATGGTCTTTTGGAAAACACTCTTGTCACAATAAAATGTATTTATATCTAAACCACTGATCTTAAGCTAATGAAATAATAATGTATATAGTTAAAAGACACATAGCAAAACTATAACTGATATCATAAAGACATAATTGACGTTTGAAGTACTGTCATGAGAAACAGGCACTGATTCAAATATTGTGGTAGTTAAATTTTGTATGTTCTATTAAAAAAAATGTTTATTTTGTTAATAGTATTTATACAGATAATACCTGGGGAATGATCTCTGCTTGGTTCTCTTAGGTTTAACAGACCAAACAAATTAAAAGAGACACATAATGAAATTATCATGTTTTTTTTTTGTACAAAATATGCACACCTAACTCTTGTTTTAATAACCATAATTCTTTTGGTTAAATCTTCGTCTTTATTTTGTAACCATCAAGGAAACCTATTAACCCAATATTTATCTGTTTTTCAATGAGTCGTATAGCAAAACACGTGTTTCCATGAGGTAATGGCTTGTACCAATCAAATTTCTAACCCTTATTTTTTAAGTCCCTTATTCCGAACCTTTAGCATAATCCTTCCACTGTTTTTTTAGGTTATGTTTGAGAACCCTCAAATATCACACAGACATAAATAGCTTGTATTATAATACAAGTACTGTATAATATAGTACATAGTATCAGTTTTCTACGGTTGGCAAGAGCATATATTCTAAGGATTTTTTTTTACTTATTACTAGTACTATAAACTATGAAAGATCAATCTGGTCTTGTGGTAAAGCGAAGGGGTTCGGTGCCCAATGTCCCGGGTTCAAATCCCACACACATGGATTTTATGTGTGCCGCAACCCTCTAGGATTAGCCTGTAGTAATGTGTAAAAACAGTTCCGGGCTAGAACTAGAGTCCTAGATGGGACATAAAAAAACATAAACTATTGGTCTTCGTAGCAACCCAAAGTTGGTAGAGTATCGATAATGTATTGATCAAATCAAACCCATCAGTAGTAATTACAGTAATACGATAATGATTTAAAGTTGGCATCGAACCTTCAGCGTTCAGCCTGTAACCACAAAACTCTACAAGTTAGTAAAAGTGTGCCACCAGTGTTCTATTACATCACTAACCGAATGTACAGCACAGATGCAAATTAAATTACTCCGACAACCTCTGAATACCTGATGAACTACGGTGTCAGCTCTTTGACGGTATAGAGGCTATTGAAGCAATCTTATGCCAAAGCACGTATAACGTGTAAGTCCTGAAGTGAAACCCACATGATAAGACGATGCTAATTGATTACATAACATAACAATGACATGTAAGATATAACATAGGTCAATCAAACATATTAAAAACCCCTACACATTACAAACATTAGTTAGAGTAAGGTTTGCAGGATAAATATCATTCTTCACAGAACTATTAAGTTTTTTGATGTGCTTTATGTTGTACAGATTTTGTGAAGACGTGGTCAATATCACAGAACCTTTTTTAACTTTTCAAGCACATTATCACAGTATTAATAGTTGCATAGCCTTAATTATGTAAAAAAAGAGTTCATGATTAAGAAAATTGTTCATAAGACCTTTTGTTTCTGTTTAGGTGTGTAAACCAATTATAGTGGAAGCTCACAATCCATCGAAATTGAAATTATGATTAAATAAGTTTTATTTGTTAGTATTACAAATTAATACTACATCGATGTTAGTGCATACATCTTTTAGGTTAGGGCATAATTCGACGTCACATGTTAATATATTACTAATGAAGTGAAAAATGTAATGTTTTACATTGGAAAAGTCATTCATTAAAATGGTAACTTTTAAATTTATACGTTGAATTGATGAAAGGTAACACGTTGTTGTAAAATAGTTGAATAAAAGAACATCGTTATTCTTGTGGTGCTAATTCTTAGTTTATAGAATGGCAAGATTAATTTAAAATGCTGTAAAGTTATATAGCTTAAGGGTTTCTGCTAAGATGAGAGCAAAATGTGTTCTGACGGAGTTGTTAAGTTGTTTCACTTTATCTAATGAGCTGAGTAAAACTTAGAAGCCAACATTTTACTGTACATTATCTTCTTTCTTCTGCGTTGTTGCTTATTTTCAATTCTACGGGTGCTATTTTATTTGTGAACGAATAAATCAAATGTTTTTCTAATTTGAATTACGTCCTCCACAATTTCAGAGTTTATATAAAAGAAATATACCATTACCACTTTTAGCGAGAATGTTGAAAAGTTTCGCTCTATAAAATAATTTGTCTACGCAAAAACAAAATAATGTAGTATGTGTAAGTAAAAACCCATATTGAAACACAATAGAGATAAACTGCAGACCTATCATATCGTTAAAGACAAGAACTTTTGAAATTAAAAAACAAATTCTCCTTGCAATTAATAATTGTACAAAAACATGTCCCAACAGGCGAATAGTGGTATATATATTTACCAAGCTTATTCCAAAAGGAAAGGGAATATAGTAATAGTTAATAAGCACATTCTAAGTACTATGCCAAATAAAAACTTTATCATATGATTAATCATTTTGTCCGTAAATTCCACTTAAAGTTAAGCAAAATAAGAAACACCCTTTCTATCTATTCTTTCGTAGTATCTTTCAAGGTATTGCTAAAAATACTAAAATAATTGTTTACTGTGCATACAACTCTTTTGAGGACAACCATTCTCTTCAAAAATTTTATATTAATATTATTGTATAATATTATTTCTATAATAATAATTATTATTAATATTGTAATTATATTACAAATTGAGATAGGAACGCCACCTAGATGCATTAAGTTTAACTCATAGTGAGTTTTTAAGTCTGTTGATCTGTGTACCTTTGATACTGACTAACATCAGCTGTTTCACTAGCCAGGATCATTTGTTAGATTCCCAATGATCAGGAACAGCTGGGTACAGTTTTGAACCATCAAAAAGCTGCTGACTTTTCTATAAACCGTCTATGTCTTTATTGTTAATATGAAACATAAAATTAAAAACAGAGAAAATGTATGTTATATATCATATGTATTATTTAATTTGACATTCCTTTCTTACCAATCTATTAGATTTATTTTCGATTTCATTAAACAATTCTGCTATGCCTTAGTGTGTGTGTGTGTACCCTACGAACCTATACACAAATATAGTTACCGTATTTATATTTAAGTACATATCAATTCAATTTAATTCAAATTACCTTTATATACCAAGTACATTAGGAATTTATACATGAATAATGTCATATTTCTTAGTGATAAAGTTATAATAAAATATACATTTTTATATTAAATAAGAGAAACATTGTGAAAGAACAAAGAACCAACAGAAAATGACATAAATAAAGTTAAAAAATAATTTAAGGGGAAAGAGAAGTACATATTACAGTTTATCAAATGAATAAATAGCCCTGCTAATGAAAAATGTCTTATGTTTATTTTTAAATGTTTGCTTAATATGTGGATTACAAGCTGGTTTTGGTTTAAAAAAATATATAAAACAGCCCTGATATTGGATTAGTTTCAACCTAATTATTTAATTATTTTTGTTTAATTTTTCGCTAGACAACACTAATATATGTTTTCATAAAATTTATGTCTTCTGAATCAACATTACATTTAGATAAATTTATCCAGTAGACATCAAAATCAGAGTTATTCGATCAATTAACGTGCGTGTGTCAACACGTCTGTTTTTGCATGTTTATGACCACACAATACTTAATCGAATTTAATCACCTACCGCCGTTTTGATTGCCACATTCAGAATACAATGTAGTGATAGCGTTTTAAATGATAATAGATGCTAAAGCGTTTGGGTTGATGGTCGCAAAATTATCATAAGAGTTTAAAAATCTAAATATAAAATTAGGCACATTGACTCTTCTTTGTTCCACTCTCTAATGGTCTATCCGTCTCAGTGATGAATCTTCGTGTCTTCTCTCTACAACTGTGAGGAAGGTACGTGCGACTTTTACTACTAAAGTAAACTTTCTTACTCTATTGAAAAATCTGAATCATATTTAGATGTGTAATTAACGCTCGTTAAGCCTAGAGGGAATGTTAGTTAAAATTCTATAAAAAAATCTATATCAATTTATATGACTAATATTTTGTCAATATTTTTTTGGAATACAGTATGATTTATGTATTATGAGTCATTGACTGACTGGGTAGCTGAGTGGTTATAGTGCTCGCCTAGTAATCAAAAGGTCGCCGGTTCGATCCTGAGAAAAGTCAGTAGCTTTTTGATGGTTCGAAACTGGACCCGGCTGTTCCTGATCATTGGGCTTTAAATAAATGATCCTGACTAATGAAACCGCTGATCTTAGTCAGTAACAAAGCTACACAGGTCATCACACACCATTCTACACTCATCCTTCACTCATATTTGGGTTAAAATACGCACCTAGGTGGCGTCCCCGTCTCAATAATTGATTGATTGATTGATTGATTGATTGTGTAAACAGTAACCAGCTTAAGGTTCAAGCAAATCGGCATTACTAAATATTTGTGTATCTTCAGGCCTGTATAGTTTTTATGTCAGTTTGGGGCTAACAGCATAAATGAATCCAATTTCTACTATAATTATTTATGAATCTACATTACTCATCGGTAGAATTTTAGTTTTTCTTGAAACCGTAGAACAAAGTAACATTTTTGGTACAGAGATGAGTGATCCTAGTACATAGTTATTTTAATGACGTTGTATTATTTTAATTATTTCTAATAAACATTACTTACATACCCTTCTCCACTGGCTAAAGATGTGTTGAATTAATATGTTGCATGAGCTACATAAAATTATTAAAACCGAACAGTACAGTATCTAAGATAAATGGCGATGTAATACTACCACCTCATATATTTATAATGTGACGGGCAATAGGAGATATAAATAAATATGCGACGTAAATGTTAAATTGAAAAAAAAACATTAACTGCAAGTATCATTAGGTTATCTATATGTCGTCATAAATAAATAATGGAAAATCGGATAAAATAATTTTAAGAAACGAATTAAACAATTGTTATTAAAATATTGTATGGTATGCTTCTATTAACTCTAAACAATAGGGTACAGCCCCCAATGCTGTAAAAATTATAGTCGAAAAGTTATTTCAAGTTTTGTAATTTGTATCCATTAATGACCAAGTTTCTTCATTGGTTACCTATAATAAGGGGTTGTTGACGAAGGAGACAGCACGAGTCAGTTTTCTGTTATTGATTATTTTATTTTTAAAGGAGACAAATTTTGACATTTATATTAAAAATATTTTAACGTAGGGTTCAGAGTGTTCCAGCCAGTATAATATAATACAAAATTGAATTAAACTTTAAACAGCAGATCTTAATATGCTTATTATTTCCCGTTATAAACAAATTATTTGTATTTGTTACGGTATTAAGCATTTACTTTTTGTACACCCAGATAAACCCCCTAAATTACATGTTTCGTCATGGAACTATAAAATATTTTCCAATTATAATCAAAAGCGCATGATGGGATAGCATGCAGAATGCTGAATTTATTATTTACGTATTCCGTGTACGCTTAGAAATAATTTTGCAACTTTTAAAGATACGAGTACTACGACCTCGAGCAGCTGGTGCAGTCGTTTGCCATTTCGTTCAACGCTTAGATTTAACCTAACCTAAAACATTAACTGAATGTTAACTGTTTGAAAGACTAATTATGTATATGCTTTATATTAACTGTTTGAAAAAATACAGGGTCTTCTAAGCTGTCCTAAACAGATTACAATCAAACAGCATAACATACAGAGATGGAACAAAACATTTCCCCACTAATTCATACCCAAAGAACAACATAACAATATTAAATATGTCATGTTGTGCAACATTTTAATGCTCTAGACTTGATAAACAATTTAGTGGGATTAGAACTCCTTTATCTTCATCTGTTTCAAAATGGCAGCCATTTGTATGGAAAATATTGATATTTAAAGAATACTCTGTATTTTGGAAACCAATTAACTTATTTTTGCTCTTTTTAAAAACTCTTAATCCTCGTGAGTTCAGCTTTAATGTTATATGCGACATATCAACATTTTAAAAACGAATATTTTTTTAATTATTTATTTTTGTTTGTTTTGGTAAATGGAAAAAGGCAACATATGATAAATTTTGAAGGTCTTGACAAAACAAAAAAATTAATAATTGAAAAATAATTAGTTTTTAAAATGTTAATATGTCACATATAAAATTAAAGCTGAATTTACAAGGAAGAATCTTCAAACAGAACGAAAATAAGTTTAGTGGTTTCCAAGATACAGGGTATTACGTAAAAATCAATATCTTCCATACAAATGGCAGCCATTATCAAAGGGGTAAAGATAAAGGAGTTATGTTTTTACTAAATTGTTTGTCTAATTTAGAGCTTTAAAATGATGCACAATATGACACATGTTTACGGTTTAGTACTCTGAGATGCGAACCCATGACCCCCAGTTTCTCGGACACCCTGTATTTTAAAAATGGTAAAAAATTATGTTGTTCCTTGGGTATGAATTTGTGGGGAACAGTTAATCTCTGAATGACAAGCCGTTCGTCTGTAATCTTTCTAGGACAGATTAGAAGACTCACCCTATATAATGTGAAACACGAATGTAAAATGCCTTTGCTGCACTCGAGAAACTTGCAGGTCAGTCAAGTGCAGGTCAGTTGCCGCAGGTGAGTGCGCAAACATTTCTCTCGTGTGCAGCAAAGTACCACTTCGCCCACTAGTTAACAAATAACTCTTTATGTCGGTGTCTTTTACTTTGGTTTTAGCCCTGGTCAGTATGGAAGTATTGACCATTGTATCCAGCGTGCTGTACTCCAGCCTAGTGTTGGTAGTCAGCCTATATTGCTGGTATCGATGGAGGTACAGAGATATACTGAGAGTCGCTTCCAAACTGCCCTGTACATCACGAGCCTGGCCTCTGATTGGAGATTTACATGCAGTACTGTGGGGGCTGGAGAGTAAGTAGTTTGAAACTAAGATACAAATGAAAACTAAATAATAATCAACGAGCGGTTGGCCCAACCTACGTATGGGAATCGAGTAGTTAACAAGAAATATAATTCAGAACAGCTAGTTTAAACGCACAAAGACAAATTCCGGCAGTTTTAATGGGAAAATCATCCTGTAAACAAAGTACGTAGCCACATATTTTTTTCATCTAATTATAGCGGATTATTTTATATTAATGCCTATAGGATGCACTTTAAATCCAACAGTTTTACAATAAAACAGCAAGTGTGAATCTGTAAATCTTGAATTGAGATTGACAGCTGATTCACACAAAGTAGTTTCCCATTGGTCCTCAGACGTTGCCTTCCTTTCAAAATTATCTTTCCTCCAACACAAAAATCATGAAAATCAGTCCATTGGTTAACTCAGTATCGTGAAAAAACAAACCAAAAGCACTTATTGTAGAGAGAGTATCCTACAAAAATGGAAAGCTTTGTGTTAGTGAATCAAACTACAATATCATATATCTATATTACAATATCATATATTACTATTAAAGAAGAGGTTCTGTCAGTCTGTCTGTCTCTGTATGTGTGTTTGTGTGAGCTAAAATCCAAAACTACTGAACCGACTGGGCTCAAATGGGACAAAAATAAAGCTAAAGCTCCCAGTATACAGTATGTTATAAAGACAGGAGTTTTTTATTTCATGACTCTAAATCAACCACTTGATTGATTTTCAAGAGTTTAGTGTCGAAATAAACATAATTTTGAGAACTAGAGAATGTCAATGTATTAGTTTTAATTTAAGGTTTCAGCTGTTAAAGTCTAGAAGCCAACACCTATGTAAATATTTCTACTGCTTGAACTTTGAAGATAGATTAGGAAAATAACAAGGTTTACATATTTTCATTCATCTTGTTAAATTTTTGCAATACAAATTTACAATACATGTCTAACTGCTTGAACTTTATTCGGATAAGGCTTGAAAATATTGATGTTATCGAACAAGAAGATCAAGGATGGTAAGGAATCACGATTTTAAATCACTACCTCAACCTCTGACGGGTATTATTCAGAGATAAACACATGGATGACGTATGACCTAAAATTCTGCAAGTATAATTTTACACAATCTAGAACGTTGCTCGGCGTGTGTTCACGTGTGGTTACGTATGGGTGCGCTAATGTCACTTTTATTTCAACTAAATGTCTTATAAGGGTTCATGGTGTTTTTTTTTCGGCTTCAGCCACGTTGTCACCATTATGCTACCGACAGACGTTTCAACCCTTACTATGAAGTGGCATCCTCAGTGGCTAGGCTGAGACTGGGATGCTTTGGGAACGTCAAAGTCAAGCCGGCGTGCGTGGAATGCAGGCATGCAGGGGTCACTCACTTCCCTTGTTCCTGTATCTTCTTATTTGGTCTGAATTGATGTATTATATATGTTGCCACGACTGTGGAATCTAAAAGCTGTTGTCTTTGTTAAAGTTGTCTGGTTGTTCCCTAATTTCTGTTGCTTCCCTGATTTTTCTGGGGTAGAAATATGGTTCCTTATCAATTGCTTTAACTTCATCCGTGGCAGTCCAGAAAAAATACAAGCTATGCGTGGTGGAGAGAAATACTTCATTTTTTGTGTATCACAAAGAGTACCACTAGGTAGACGACCACTTGGTAAACCAAGAATAAATTGCAAAGACCAAGTAATGAAATACATCTCCAAACTGGGATCTACATTAGAAGAGGCAAGGTATAGAAGAGAATGGGAGGCCAGAATCCATTAAAGTTTTAGTGGCCCACGAGATAAGACAATGCACGATAAGTGATAATATGCAATGGAAGGTGATTGATATGTTACTACTGTACTCAAAACCAGTGCGTGTGAATCAGCAACCAAACTCACATAAAGGATTTTCAAATCAACACAATTGCGGTTTTATTTCAAAATTACCGCGTTTAAAATCTATATGTTATAGGCTTATAATCGGATTAAAGAATAGGTGGTTAAGTGAAATTTGTTTAAAAGATTATTTTCCCTATTAAAACTGCCAGAATTCGTATTTATGCGTATAAACCAGCAGTTCTGAATTATAATAAGTTTTGACTCCTCGATTCCCGTAGGTAGGAAGAGCCACTACATAAATTAAACAGGTGTGTATACTCTTTTAAGTAATTGACAACATAACTTCTAAAGGTTGAATATTCATGATTAAATATTTAGGTAAAATATTCACATTTAATCCAAAGAAAAGGGAGAATGTATTTAAATGTGTCTACAAAAACAATAACTTAATTTTAAGTCATTAGTTGATTTAAGTCTAGTTATTGTTATTATATCCCCGTTCTAAACTTGTTTCAAGTGCAATTGTTTTCAGATTTAACAACCTATATTCTTGAAGAATCAAGAAAAGCTGTGGCCCAAGGACTACACACTGGGTGTTTCTGGATTGGACCTTTGCCTTATCTGGTTGTCCATGACATTGACGACATAAGGGTAAATTAATCATTAAAAGCTATTAGGTTGAGGTGTAAATGTTTTATAACCAAATATTTTAAATACATGGTGCTTAATAGCCCAGGATCATTAACTTGTGCAATTGAGTGGGTTAATAATTTTCCTGTCCCTCGGTGATCTTATTGGTTTCCATCGTGACCGATTTCGAGATTGAAATCTAATCACCATGCTTCTTCAAACGCCATGTCACTCAAGCATATGTTGTCGTGAAATACACAAATAACTGCAGAAAACATAAAACAAGACAAACAGATTGTGGCTGATTTCCTAATAGTTTGTAGATTTAGATCTTTGTAGAAACTTCTAAGGAGTCTAAATACGTCTTTTTTCCGGAAAATTGTGTAAAACATCTATGCTTATATCGAGGTTTGCGTAATTAGTCATTATTTCTTTCTTCAAGGTTATTGTCAAAAGCATTTTCTGCTGGGATTTTGTATTGGATGAAACGTGCTCTAAGCTCTAAGCATTGCTGAATTAACAGGTAGTCTGGCCTTATGAGTTAAATTCAATGTAACACAGAGAAGTAAGGCTCAGGAGAAACATTCAATGGTACACGTTATGTCTAGCACTGGTGCTGATGCATGAAGCAAAATCTAACGTCACCCTTCTCCTTCATTAACGACAAAGTTTACGGTAGAGGAAGACCCTGTGAACTGTAAAGTGCTTGCTGCTCTCGCTCTTCCTCGTCTCAAGTTTTTCCCGGTCTCACATACTTAAGATGAATACATAAAAAAGTGCACGGTCAACACACAAGCTAGTTTCCTCTGTACCATAGGCCTATCTCTTTGTGACTGTATGAAGCCAAATGTAGCTAAGCTACAAATTACTTGCCGATTCTGTTGGATCTGACCATATATTGTTCATATATTCATATACGTTCATATATTGTTCATATTGTTATTATTCTGGAAGTTTTATCTGTTTTTCATGAAGTTTGTTCTGCCCCTTTACTGAAGTTTCACTCGGCCACTGCATTGCATCATTGTTATTGTTCCTATACTGGTTTTGTTTTTCGAATCTCTCGTTTTGTCAACTTGTTCAGATAGTTTGTTATTTATAGTTGTTACTCATAGTTTGTTATTCATAGTTTGTTATAGTTTGTTATTTATAGTTGTTATTTATCTTTTTATGTCTTGTTATTAAAGTCTTGTTTTCCAGTTTTTTTTTACTACTTTTGTACTGGCCTGTAATAATGTTTTCTGCTTCTTCTGTTTGTAAGATAATTTTTTTCATGTAAAAATGGTGGAACCATTAACAAATAAATAAATAAATAATGTGATGAAAGAAATATTTTTCTACCCATAAACGTTTCCCAAGTGGCCACTAAGATTGAGTTGAGTGTGTCATATCAACTTATGCATGCTTAAGTTAATTTAATAAAGAATATGCTCTCTGAATTTGCATTTAAAAGATATTGTTTCTTAGGCGGTGATGGCTAGTTCAAAAACTATTGACAAAGCACAGGAGTACGACTACATGGTCATGGGACTGGACACAGGAGCCGGCCCAATTAGACATGGCTTGCTTACGGCTCCTGGTAAGAATGTATTTTGTATTATAAAATAACATGTTTATGAAATATGCATGTTAAAACATGAATTCAGAGTAAAATGCATGGCTTTAAAAAATGAAGCCAACGTATTACATTAATGATTTAAGCTAGTTTCTAGTCAAAGAAATTAAGAAGGTATATCGGTTTGATGGGTTAAAAAGTTTGTTGGATTAGTATTAATTTTCGTTTTTGGATAAATGTTTTAGTGTACCTGTAGCGAGATCGAGTAATTGTCAAGTATTAATTTCAAAATTAATAGCTGTCACTATTTTCGATGAGTTTATTAGACTACTCAAACTAAAGTCAAAACAAAATGGGAATGACTGACTGTGTTCATTAAATTTAGATATTGCCAAAATGTTATGAAAATATTTATTCATTTTTCTAAAGTTTGTCTCGTGTTTTATTGTCTTCATACACGTTTCCACACTTAGTCCTAACCGTAGTTGCATATAAATGCCCACTTGTAATTTTGTCATTGATAATGTAGCTTAACATGGTACCATTTTTGTCACCAGTCTGTTTACGAATTTACGTCATTTATTACTTTATAGTGAACAACAATTTTAAACACTATTCAATGGATTCTTGTAATTTCCTGACTGTTATAATTGCATTTGGTTCAATTGAAATTCTTTTGGTTGGTAAATGTAATAACGTTAAATATAATTAAACTAACCGTAAATGCAGAGTCTAAGAGCCTGATGTGTTCAGGTGTTTTTTGTTTTCCTTAACTTTAAATTATCAACGTTAGTTAAAGTTTTTATAATAAAATAATAATAATAAAACGACTCTTATTTCAAGCGGTTTTCAATAACAATACTCTGATTTTCAAAACTACTCAAGTCAATACAAAAGAAATATTACAATAACAACATTTGACTTTAAACTGACAATACCTTAACTTATGTTTACAAAAGGCATTTTTTGGAGTTCAGTCGAAAAGCTTTATAACTAAGTTTATAACGAATTTCCCTACTGTATAGGGAAGTAGCTATTACCGTAGGTGGCGTGGTAAGACCTAGGCCCAGAACCGATTTACTTTTTCATTTTGATGACCCCATAAGCCAAAAACACCATTCATTCAAATATATATATATATATATATATATATATGCATAGAGAGAGAGAGGGAGAGATTTATATACCTATATATGTGTCCGTGAACACGATAACTTGAGTAATCTTTAGCCGATTTTGATAAAATTTGGATTGAAGGTTTAAGGCAGGATACACTTGAATGAGTTCGCCAACCAGAATGATCAGACCATGGGAATGGGGTTTTATGGGGTAAAATTAGTTTTTCTAATTTTTGACCCTCAAAACATGAAATATCCCTAATTTTCTCTTAACCTTCTTAAAGAGTTAAAAAAAATTCAGCATATCAAAGTTTTATTGGCCGGTTATTGGTTATGGAGAAAACAAAAAAAATTGTAAATTTAAAATTCCCATGTTATTCTTATAGGGAATATTTTAAAATGTTCTAGTTTGATTATTTATGGATACATTTTGATCAAACTTGGCAAATATATTGATTTTGTACTAAGCTATCGTTATTTTACTTAACAACACACTTTATTAATTTCCTTGTAGCGGCAAACCTAGGTACTCATTAAACCTAATGTTATTTTAATAGATTCAATAGATTTTAATAGATGATTGAAATTCGCTTAGACGGCAGGTTTGCTGCGGCTGGGGTATTTTTACATTTTCTGGTAGATGTTTGTATTTCCGAGCCCTGAAAAAGGAAAAGCCCTTTTTCCATGTTCTAACTGGACGCGAGGCAAGTGCAGCAGGCCATTATGTCTTGTACTGCTCTCTCTAACACATTTCCTAGTTTTCAACTTATCTTTCAGCTAAGTGGGTCTGCTAGTGTAGGTGACCCTGTGAACAATAGCCACAGTCCCTAACAAACATTATGTCCGCACAGGAACATCCACTTTGCTTTCTAAAGTAAGACATGTGGTAAAATTTTCTTAAATCATACACTTTTCTTAAAGCATTGTTTTGCAAACGATTGATCAAATTAGTATGTTTAATTGAAAGGCTGAAACCAAAGGCAGGCAAAGCATAATTAATGACAGGCATTACCAAAGACTTCACTATTTGTAGTTTTACATATTTTGTCTGTATTTTCCTAAATGTATTGAACACCCTGAGCAAAGTCATGACCTTTTAAACGATTGATTTTACCTGTTTTGAAAATGTTAACTCCACGTCAATTGTGAGACCAAAAACTTTAATTGTCTCAGTAGACTTCAATATCATGTTCTCCAGAATTACATCGAGATCGTGCTTGTGACATAAATAATGCATGCTGCGAGAATCATTGAAATAATGTATGAAGGAGCGCTTCTTAACATTCAAAGACTGTCCATGGTTCTTGGACCACAAGAAATTTTCATAAAATCAAGGTTTATCAACTGTTGTGCTTGTAAACTATCTGTGGGCTTGACGAAAAGAGAAGTTGCGAATCATCTGCATACAGAAACAGTGAGCAGTGAGATAAAGGTTTCTTGGGTGTAGTCCTATTCTTCTAGAATCACTTTAACTTAATGGCAACACGGTTAAATTTCCTTGAGATACCAATGATATTTAACCTTATAGAGTTTTCCTCTGCAATGATAACAAGGTAACGCCATGTTTCATACCAAAAATCGACTAAGTAGTAATTCGACTAAGACTCTCGTTTACCGTTTGTAGGAGTTAATGTTGGGCTTTATTTCTCCATTTCAGGCCCAGTTTGGAAACCATCCCGAAAAGTAATAAATACAATGTTTAGGCCTCACAACTTGAACCTGATGATGCCAGTTTACAACAAACATTCTCGCTATCTCGTCAATAGACTGTCCACTGAGGTGGGCAAAGGACCGACAAAAGTCAATATGACTGAATATCTTAATGATGCCGCATACATGACAATAAACGGTAAATATTCATTGTAGAATATGCATTTTAATTATCATTTTATGTATTTTTTGTAGCCATGTCAGGCTCGACTACAACACAGGAGAGTAAGTTGGTCTAGTGGTTGAGATTGTGACTTTCGTCCTTGAGGTTTCGGGTTAAAATCCCGCTAAATTACTAATAGAATTTATCTGAGTGTGGCTGCAGCCACAAAGTCTAGCCTAAATCCCGAAACAAGATTCCGGCCAGAGCAAAGTGTCCTTGAAAAAAAAACTTTACATCTCTTATATTGGTGCCAAAATTAAAAGGGGCTTCCACAATCTCGGACTGTTGTAGGGAAAGACAAATATTAGCTCTAACACTGACAGCATTTAACCTTTCATTTTACATTATTTATATTTAATCAATAATTTTTACATTATATAAATAATTTCAAATGCGTTGTTTTCCTAGTCAAACTCAGCTCTATCAAAAGAAATGTATTTGTTTAAAAATTCTAGATTTGTTTCACTGTATACATTGGCATAAGTTGGTGTGCTTAAAGTTTCGTTCATTTATTGTTGTACTAAAGTACTCGTCCTTCGTACGGGGTTGGCGTATAGTAAAAGGCGATCCAGAAAGTAAAGAACGTTTCGTTATGACGCCGCTAGGCGCGCGCCGATCTCGTACTTTTTGGTATGTGCGTACTCGGCAACTCAGTCGGCATCCAGCCGTGACAATTGGAGCATTCTAGCGCTGCCCGTTTTTTTCACAATTTCAACTTAAGATGAGCGCTGCAATAAAAAATCCCTCCAGTTAAGGGGTGCGGTCAGTGATACGGTTTTTGTTGGAAAACACTTAAAACCGAAACTTCTCCTCAATTTTCACGGACTTTGTTGTTTAAAATTGTCACGCAACAAAGCGAAAGACCCGTTATCGGGAATCGGCGGTTTTTGCGAACCTTTTCATCAACTTTAGCGACCAGTTCCATCAGTCATAATGCTCGGCGTCCACCCTTCGCTTCGTCATGGCTCATGAGCGTCAGATCGGCCATTTTTAATCTGAATGCACCATTTTCTCAGAACTTTCAATCATTACGTTTTTTTCCCTTAAACTTCATACCCTTGGAGATAAATGTCTATCGATTTTAAGTTTAAGGCCAACACAAACCGTATCACTAACCGCACCCCTTAAATGGCGGGATTTTTTATTGCAGCGCTCATCTTAAGTTGAAATTGTGAAAAAACGGGCAGCGCTAGAATGCTCCAATTGTCTCGGCTGGATGCCGACTGAGTTGCCAAGTACGCACATACCAAAATGTACGAGATCGGCGTGCACCTAGCGGCGTCATAACGAAACGTTCTTTACTTTCTGGATAACCCACGTATAAAACCGTTATTGCAGTTATACTGCGTTGGCAATGGGGGAGGACACGGTTTGAGAAAATTTGGTTCCTAAATTTACGGTATGCTAACACATTTACCATATCCATAATGTTCTACAACTGCACCTAAACAATAGAAAAACGTAATTATCAAATATTCGCACAATATCACAAATAATTTATTAAATTGAAAAAATATACATAACTGTAAACAATTCTACTTTGATAGTTCTCATTGTGTATCACAGCTTTTTGTAACTGCTTAGTTTAAATTAGCTGTTGTCATAAATGCAAAATAATAATAGTGCTGCACACTGTTGGTAAACCTTGCAACTTGTTAATTCTATTAAATATCATAGAACCAAATTGTTTCGTTGAAACTGCTGGCAAAATTTTATAATTAATTTTGAATCCATAAAAATAACATTGGAACTTTTTACCCTCATGGGTTAGACCTATGGGATTTTCACAACTTTAATATGCCTATGTGTTTTTTAAGACTATCAAGTACCTCTCTGAAAAATTTCAGCTCAATTGGTTCGATATGGACCAGAACGTGATAGAACTTTAGAGTTATACACAAAAATCCACACTTTCACATTTACAATATTATAGTAGGATTATGTTTGTAATTAGAATAAACACCTCTTTTATGATAAAATATACTTTTTCATTTACTTCTGTTTGACTACCAGATTTCATCTTTGGGTTCGATATCAACGATGTTGATCCTGAGGAATTTAGAGAATTTCTAAATATCGAAGAGAGGTAAGTTAAGCTCTATTTCCCAAGACCAATACAATATGAACACACGCTGGAAAAATGTACAAACAATTACAAATATGTCAACTAGGGTGTAATGTAATTAAATTGGGGCCTTAACATATTTCAATGTTAATCCTATATTACACCGGTAGCTTTTCCTCTTAGACGTTTCTCCTTATGGCAGTGACGTCATCCACGTAGTCAATGACATTGGCCATTTCGAGTCTTAGAAAACATGATATATGGCCTAAAATAATAATAAAGGTAAGTTATTAAGGAAATTATTGTTATTAGGTTATTAACTATTGTAATACTCACATTACTTAGTACACCTACCTTTTTTATGGTGCTAAAATTATTTTACTACAATAATAAATATTGTTCTTGTATTTTCAGAATTACATTACTCTTTATGGACCGCATTTTCAAGCCTTGGCTAAGGTGGAAACCTCTGTTTCAAGCTTTAAAAAAGAAAGAAATAACTGACATTAGCAATGTAATAAAGACATTTTTAGGAAATGCATTGATGGTAAGTAATGCCCCTCCCTGGTTACAAACTTGTAACAAAGAAACTTGGCACTTGCTCTCCACCTTCCGTCATGGACGGGGCCACTATGGAGAGGATAGTCAAGTCCCTTTTCCCGGCTCACAGTGCTCACACGTTGTGTCCACTGCGGGATTTCTGAAAGGTGGATAACGTACCACTTTTAAGTCATGAAGAGATGGAGGCGGCCGTGCTATCCCTGAAGAGTAATAAGGCTCCTAGACCTGAGGGGGTACGCGGCGAAGTCCTCAAGAAGGTTTTGACTACTAACCCCTTAATCCTTTTGAGCATATACAACGCCTGCGTAGTCGAGGAAGCTTTCCCCTCGTGCTGGAAAACAGCTGGTCTTGTGCTTGTTGGGAAGGGGAAGGAAGACCCAGACCTGCCATCCTCCTACAACCCTCTGTGTATGTTGGATACGGCTGGCAAAGCTCAAAAAGTTGAGCCGTTCCCGGCTGAATTCAGCCATGGTCGCTGCGAAGGACCTTTCCCCTCGTCAGTATGGATTCAGGATGGGGTGGTCTACGGTTGACGCTATTGAGGAGGTGAAGCAAGCCGTGATGAGATCTTAGGATTTTAACCACTACTCTCGTAGGGTTGTGCTGCTCGTATGCGCGAAACGCATTTAATTCCGCGAGGTGGTGCGATATGCTGGATGCTCTCCGGATAAGGATTATCTCCGGTTCCGCCTCCTCATGTATGACACTACAGAAGGCCCACGGACGATGGGTGTCACTTTCGGTGCTTCCCAAGTTTCCATACTCGGCCCAGACCTCTGGAATGTCGCTTATGACAACCTTCTGAGGTCAAAAATGCCCAAGGAAACTGTTTTGGTTGGTTACGCAGACGACGTTGCAGCTTTGACAGCTGCACGTAGCGTTGAGCTGGCTCAGCTAAATCTGGACCGTGTTATGCGTACCATAAACGCATGGATGGCATACCACGATCTCCCGCTAGCTTTGAGCATAACTGAGATCGTGATATAAAAAAAAACTTATTGACACCATCGTGTCGTTGAGGGTGGGGGCTGTCGAAGTCCAGACTGTTCGTACTGCCGAGTACCTTGGGGGTATAGTGGACAGCAAGTTTAGCTGGCGGGATAGATTTTCCGTATGAAGGACAAGGTAGCTAGGGTGGTTTCCTCTCTTAGTCGGTTGATATGTCGGAGGGCCTCAGTCCAGTTGTAGAAGGCTGTTAATGTCTTCTGTCCAGTCCGTACTCTTATACGGTGCTGAGGTGTGGGCAGACGCTCTCAATAAGGAGGTATATAGGATGCGGCTCGCCCGAGTGTAGCGTCAGGCAGCACTAAGAGTAGCATCCGCATACCGAACAGTGTCCGAACCCGTCGTCCTGGTGGTTGCTGGAGTCATCCACGTCAAACTTTTGATGACAGAGAGAAAGGCAATTTATCAGCGTCGTGGGGAGGAGCAGGCACGAACAGAGGAACGCACCCGGACCTTCCAGCTGTGGCAGGAGATCTGGGAACAGGAGACACGGGGACGCTGGACCAGGCGACTGATACAGTAAGTCCATCCTTGTGTTAATCGGTGGTGTGGAGAGGTGAACTTCTACCTCACCCAGTTTCTGACGGGTCACGGCTTTTTCCGATCGTACCTGTTTAGGGTGGGCAAAGCCGTGTCACCCGATTGAATATACTGCCCAGCAAAGTCATTCCCGATGACGTGGAACATACCTTTTTCCATTGCCAGCGTTGGGAAAAGCCCCACCTGGAGGCTCAACAGTTAGTAGGACTACTGTTGGTGGACACGGTCATACCGATTATGACGGAAGGTGAGGACAATTGGACCTGTGTGTCACATTACATCCAGGGTATTCTCCGCGCCAAGAAACTCGACCTTAACTGGGAAGCGGTGTAGGTCATAAAGAACCTTAATGCCAGAAACGTTGAGAGCCCTGAGGGCTTAGGTCACACGTTGGCCTGACTTGAAGTAATGTGACAAACAATTCCAGGTCTGTGTCCAACCGAGTAGAGGGGTTTTTTTAGTGAGTAGTCTGTGATAAATTCAGGAGTCTCACACTACAGGCTGGCTACCTGTGTGCGTAAAAACATTTTCCCTCCTCTCCCTAAAAAAGTAATGCTTCCATGTTTTAGCTAAGTAATGTAAAACATATAGAAATGCATAAGTAGTTAAAGATCTTCTTGATGATCTTCCTGATCTTCTTGATCAGGACACAGTCATTTTGAACCAGAAACCTGTCCTTAGTTTGTATAATGCGATATGCATTTAAATGGGAATCCTAGTTAAGTAGTAGTCAAAAGTTATATTCCTACATTACAAAATTAATTACAGATAAACTGACAGAGAGGGTTTGACAGTTACGCTAAATGTCCTTGACAACTAGGTATCAGGTGCTGGAAGTATTGAGTTATGGCATTGTGTTTTCACCATTATTTTATTTTATGACAATTCAAATTGAGGGTATATACGTAAATATATAGGGTAAAGTCATACATACATACCCAGCATCTGCATACTTTTACTTAGTTCGAGTGCAGTTTCCCGAAATTTTGAATGCTTTAAGTATGGATTTCTTTGTTAAAATAGGAACTCACAGCACCAGAGTAGCTATAACGGGATAACCCAAGACGAGGCTTTAGAAATGTATTCAGTCTGTCTAATAATGTTGTGCGCCTTCAGACCGACTTTTAAAAACATGTTTCTTTACTAGATGCGACTGGGCCTTAACTAACGATAATTTAATATTGTCAATAGATGTTTAAATATCTTAAATGTTTCGGGTGTAATAAAGGTTTAAGATACAGTATGTTTGACCTAAACCCATGTCCCATTCTGGTCAAACCTTACATTACAGAAGGCCGAGAATCATGCAGAACTGAAACTAAAAAAGCCAATGGAAAATGAGAATAACTATGAATACTCCAAAGACGAATTCATGAGCTTCCCAGACGTGTATAGACCCTTCCTGGAAAGAAACCCTGAGTTTACGGAAGCTGACATGAGGGGAGAAATTGTCACTTTGTTCGCAACGGTAAATGACATGCATGTACTGAAATTTATTTTAAGAATTTTAAATTTAATTGAATTCTTATAAAGATAACTACGAATTCTAGATGACACTTCACGACAAAATAAAAAAGTAGCCTAGATGAGAATTGATTCGAACTCTTCAAACACTTTTACGTTAGTATAGACTAAAATTTGTTTCGTCCTGATATATATATATATATATATATATATATATATATATATATACATATATATTTAATGATGAATAAATTTTACAGCTGAAATATATATATATATATACGCACTGTTTAAGATTAAACAGTTTTTTTTAAATATTGGAAACTAAAATACCATTTTAAATATAAACTTCTAATGTATAATGATTTTATAGGGTACTGATACGGTAGTCAACCAAGCATCCTACTTTCTCATGGCCATGGGACAATACCCTGAATACCAGGTAAAAATAACTTATGAGCTAGAACATTAAAATTCTAATTAGAATGTATCTTGAAACAATTTAGCCTTTTTCTTGTGTATTTATGATAAAGTTACAACACTATTTATTTTTTTTTTTTTTTTGTTAACCCTGCTATAAAAGGTGACCTTGTAGCTTTTGCGTTTACATTATATTTCAGTCAAAAAAGGTCACTCATATGAACATAGTTAACAAATTTTAAATTTCCATTTACAAATTAAAATTGAATGATGTAATTTCTAACTTACTACAGCCATTTTATTGTACAAAATATTTAGAAAAGTATGATAGCTTACTAAGCTAAATTCGATCATATTTAGACAGTAGGTACATATTTTTTAATGGTTTTATAAACTAATATAGGCTAATTTTCCTACAGTTACCTGACAAAGTGGGCTGTCTTGTACCACAGCCATCAAAGTAGGGAATTGCTGCATTTAATTAGTTTTGCCACACTTATTTTACTCTCGCCACAATCATTTTTCCCACACTCCATTTTTCCAATCGAACAACACTAAAAAGTGTGCTTTTATTAGACACGTGATACGTGTACGCTTGAGAAATAAGTTGGCAACACTTAATAATACTACGAGTACGATCCTAGTGGATTTAACCTAACCTAGAACATGTTTTTAAAAGTTTGAAGGACAAATTAATTCTATGCTTTATAGTAACTTTTGGAAAAATATAATGTGTAAAACGAGTGCAAAGTGCCTTTGCTACACTCAAGAAACTTTCCAAACTCGCCTGCGGCTCGCGCGTACACACTTCTCTCATGTGCAGCAAAGTGCCACTTTGCACATTAGTTACACATATAAACTATTTTACAACAAGCAAAGGCTCCAACAAGGTCACACTGGCGAGCATTACGGCATGTTTTTAGCGAATTTCCCTATAGGGAAGTAGCTATTACCGTAGGTGGCACGGTAAGACCTAGACCCGGGACCGATTTACTTTTTCATTTTGATGTCCCCAGAGGCCAGAAACACCGTTCGTTCAAATTTATATAAATATATATATATATATATACGTCCGTGAACGCGATAACTTGAGTAATTTTTGTCCGATTTTGATGAAATTTGGTTTAAAGGTGTAAAGCGGGATAAACTTGAATGAGTTCGCGAACCAGCACGATCGGACCATGGGAACAGGGCTTTACGGGGGGTTTTATGGGGTAAAAATTGGTTTTTCTCACTTTTGACCCTCAAAACACAAAATTTCCCGATTTCTCTTAAGACCTTTTTAAAGAGCTTAAAAAAAAACAAATAATTTAGTATATAAAAGTATTTTTGTTCGATTATTAGTAACGGAGAAAATTAAAAACATTGTAAATTTAAAATTCCCATGTTATTCTTATGGAGAATATTGTCAAACGTTGTAGTTTGCTTGTTTATGGATATATTTTGATCAAACTTGGCAAATTTATTTATTTTGTACTAAGCTATCAATATTTTACTCAAAAACACACTTTATTAGTTTCCTTGCTCAGCAAACCTAGGTACTCGTTAAACCTAATGTTATTAAAATATATTTAACTGAAAATCAATTCAGACAAATGGAAATTCGCTTAGTCGGCAGGTTTGCTGCGGTGGGGGTATTTTTAAGTGTGGCCTTGCCTCCAATAACAAAATTATATGAAATGTACTGGTTAAAGGACAAGCTGTATGAAGAGATCACCTCAGTTGTTGGTCCTGATGATGACGTCAGCACAGATCATATCCGTCAGATGATCTACCTTGACCAATGCTTCCAGGAGACTCTTCGTAGTTTCACCCTTGTCCCCTTAACCATAAGGAAAACCTCCGAAGAAATCAAACTGAGTATGTTGTGTCGGTTAATATTAGCTTTCTAACTACTGACTTAGCATGAAGTAACTAGTATTATCGTCGTTTTAGCATTGTAGACATTTGTAGTTTAGTACACATTTTTTATTGGCAATACAGTTTTTGTAACTTTTTAGTGACAGTATCACTAAAAATTATATTTTAATAGAACATTTGTCTTTCTGAAATCTATTGAACTCAGACAATTCATGAAGGCCAAATTTCAGGAACATAACGTAATGTAAAAATATAAATGAGGTAAACCTTACTTATGTATGTATAGGCAAATTTGCATAAGATTAAGCACTTATTTTACTTGATACTTCTCTTTCGTATACTTCTATTTTCGTGAGTTTGTGGCTTAATTAGTAGCGCTGCGGACTTTGGGCCCAAGACAGCGATTTCATAGAATCGGATCTGTGACTAATTTTTCTCAGTACACTTCCCCCCCCCCCCCCCTTGTACTGTACAAGGGCTCACCCCTTTCTTTGCTGGATACGTTTCATGCAGAGGCTTCTGTGACCCTTTTGGACGGGGAAATGCAAGGTAAAAGATGCTGCCAAATATTTTCAAAAATATAGTTATTCATGAGATGTACTACTTGATTACCAACCAAACCACAAAGTAAAAAAAGTTCTTTATTTTCCAGGTGATTGCACCGTTCCAGCCAATCAAAACATAGTTTTGTCACTCTACGGGGTACACATGAACCCCAAGATATTCCCTAACCCTGAACGGTTCGACCCTGAACGATACACACCAGAAAACGTCGCATCAAGAGGCAAACATGTCAACGTAGCCTTCAGCGGAGGACCAAGGGACTGCATAGGTAGAGGACAAGCTAGGCAATTAGCTATGGACCAACTGTGCTTAGCCAAATTATTAAGAAAAACCTTATTTTTATAGGTCAATGATATTGACTAATTCGTATTGGAAGTCATCTAATTTTAATTATATATGTTTTAACTACGTACCAAGCAAAATCCACCAACTACGTCTTAAGTTGGCATGCTAAAATATTTGTTAGCTAGAAAAAGAAAATACATCAGTAAGTCCCAAAATTATGTAAAAATGTAGTGTTTTTAAAACGCATTACATATTTTATAATCCACATGTTATTACCTGTGCAGGAAAGCAGTACGCATCGCTTCTCGTCAAGGTCTTGGTGGTGCAAATTCTGAGAAAATACAAAGTAACGCCTGTAGTGGATGTACACAAATTAAGGGTGATGCTGACCATTGTTATAACCAGCATGGAGGGATACTTCGTGGAGATGACGCCTCGCCATTAATACTTTTTTAATACGTTAGAAATTAACAATGAGAAGAAAGATCACAAGAAAACACATACTGTTTAAAATACCATGGTTTTTAAAATTATTGTTAGGTATAATGAACAATTCTAATAAGCCTCGTGCAATAAGTGAAACATTTGAAATCTTATTTAGTAAATTATATGTTATCAATCAAGGTTCTCCGTTGTTACTAACCGATTTCAACATAATGCAATAACTCGAGAACGGATTGTAAGTTTTCTGGACATATAACTATTTTAACTCATGTTAAACCCAATGTAAAACTTTATAAACCTCAGGGAAAATAAAAAAATACAGTTGGTATTAGAACTGCATTTACTTAAATCCCTCGAAATATTTATTTTCCTTCCGATGACAATATAATCTCATCAAATTGTTGTTTACAAATTATTTGTAAATATAGCATTTACGTGTAGTGTAAAGTAATAAGCATTTGGTATCTGTACTGCATGTAATAGGATTATAAGTTTGTACTACAACAGGATTACATTTTTGGATTTTCATAAACTCTCATCTAAGCAAAAGGTTAGCTGTAGCCCATCCTATACGAATTCTTGAGATATTTTAAAAATGTATACACTATAGTTTATGAAACAAGATTTATGGCACCAGAGAAACGCTTAATAAAGACATTTTTATTTATTTATTTAGTTTAGTAGGAATTGAGATCGTAGTTGAACCCAAATATTACTAGGTAATTTTGCTGAGAAATTATGATATCAGAAATGTTTCACCTAGGGAATCACGTGCTATCCATGGCTAATTAACCAAACCATTAATAAACAGTAGTCATCTGAAAATACAGTAAGAAGGAAACATTGCCTTTACTGTGATATTGGCAAAATAAAATGGTTACTACCTAATTAAATTTCAATCGAAACAAATTCAGATTAGTAATTGAACACCTCTTATTTTTCTTACCTAATTTTCTATGGCTTGGCCATAGTTTTAGTATAATTTCAAGAATATTTATTTCATGCTTGTCAAAACCTTGCCAAAAATTGTAAAACCATCGGGATCAGCAAATTGTTCATTATATAACTTCTTCTTACTTTTGTTTAAATTTGGTAAACTCGAAGATGATCATTTGCAATATTTTATCCTAAAGTGGTAATAATAATCTCACTCAGTTTTCTTCTTTATACACGTTGTCCATTTGCTAAATAAGAAATGAGTTAGTTGTAATTAAATATTCCATTAAAGTTTACAATCTGAGCGTTAAAGGCCTGCAATATAATTCAAGCGGCTTTAATCTAGGTAAATGGTTTCCAATCCACGTGGTCTGCAACTAAGGCTGTTCTTGGTAAACGGTTTATCTTTCATGTAGGATTTGTGATATATTGTTATATTATATTATAAATATTCTCTTTATGTATAAAAAGCCCTCTCGTTAAAATATACTTACAATAGAATCACTAATACATTCTACACATCCTACACAAACATGGATGTATACAGGCATGTAATAAAATAATTTAAGAAAGAGGTAATATTGTAATTTATCTTTTGGTACAATTAAGTTATATTACATTTGTTAGGAATAGTTTCTAAAAACCGTCAACCCCTGTTTATCTTATTGTCTTTGCCTTATTTACCGCTTTTACACACACCTTAAACGAATAATCAAAACCTAAAAGGCGTGTTGATACATTAATTTGAGCCTTGTATACTTTTGGATTGTTTCCAATTGTTGTATAGGGGATCTCAACAAAACGTCGATCAATAATACCATAAATAAAGCATACTCCCCTAGTAGATTTCTAGTCCTTATCATATAAGCTAAAGACAATTATTTTATTGTTAGTTCCGTCCGTTACTCTATAGGGGTCGTGTTTTGTCTACTTGTACTTTTGTTTATTTGTTTCTTGTTATTTCAGTAATTTAAAACCTCATTTAACAGAAAGAAACGATCTAATCACAAACAATTACTCGTCTCCTAGTTACATAACCAAACAGTAAATCAAAAATGATGAAATTGACTCTAAAATAATCCAAACGAAATTTTCTCGATACTAGTGGTCACTGGTCAGAGTCTCCAACATGGAATGGACATGAAAAACAAGATTCATAGTTTACAATGGGATGAGAAGTCCACTTGTGTTGGTTGGCCTATGATAATACTGAATTTAACAGCAATTTCAGAACTATAATCATACAATCACCATTAGTTGAATTAATTGATGATAGTTTAGAAGCAAACTAGTGAAATCTGTATACGATCCCCTACTTAAACTGCTGTTTTTATTCTGTTCCTGTTTTGTTGTTATTTGTTTTGAAGTTACAACAACCTATATCCAGTTATTTAGGTCAGAAATGACGGTTAGATAAAAGTATGGATACCTCGGCTAATTTATTTAAGGGGTTACCACAGGAAACCCCAATTCTGCACATCTTCTAGTGGTATAAAAGTGCATTTTTTAGACAACTTTGAATCGGTTTCCATAATCAGCATGGATATGAGGCAACTTAAAAGTCTTAAATATCCCAATGAGTCCCAATGAGTGAAATCACATTTTAAATTATTAATAATACACCTAAAATATTAAAGATTTTTTTTTTTTTTAATGATGTTTGGTTAATACATCACAGCTACTTATGAAATGAAGAATATAAAACCTAGACTCACAGTGTTATCAATAAATGCTAGTGGAAATATGACCACAGCTACATAAATAGGGGCCATAAAAAACGTTGCTACACACGGTTTAACCATGTTGTAACTAAGAATTCTTTTGGCAATATTGTAAACTAATTCCAATGGTAATTACAAATCAGTTGCTGGTAAACCAAATCTGAAATAAGTTTTCTCTTGATTTGCCCGTTAGAACTTAACAGTGCGTGTAACACAGGGTAAGCCATTGTTTTCTGATTTAAAGCCAGGTATTCTTCCGCATGAATGGTGACTGGGATTACTTCAGCAGGAAAGCTGTTCTGGAATCCACCAACAGCTACAACAAACGACTGCTAGGATTAACTTACCAACAGTTTGGGGGATACCATAGTGTTGCGCAGAATCATAACCTCTTTATCCTACCAACTGGGAAAACAGCTTAACAGTTTCTTGACCATTCAAATGACTAATCTGAAGAATTTAAACCTAGATATGAAAACATATTCTTCGGTTTAAATTCAATTAGCTAATTTAAAATAGAACCAATACCGCAGCAAACCTGCAGACTAAGTTTAGATTTGCTACAAGGAAGGTAATAACTTTTTTATACCAAAATCTTGATTGCTAAGCCATCAACAAAATACTGATTGACAATGTTGTTGAACAACATTTATTAGCAAACTAGCTGTACCCGCGGGCTTTGCCCCGTTTAACTTGATAAGTATTCGCTGCGCTCACTTACCTTTAGGTTGGAGCTCGTTCGCTACGCTAACTCGCCCCCACGTTGAAGTTCGTTCGCTACGCTCACTCACCTTTTGGTTGAAAATTAGCTGTTGTCATAAATTAAAAAGAAATAATAGTGCTGCACCCTGTTGGTAATACTTGTAACTTTAATGCTATTGCACATCATAGAACAGAACCAAATTGTTTAATTGAAACAGCTGTTAAGATTCATTAATTCCTTTTAAATATGAAAAACCATAAGGTTAACATGGGGAACTACAGAGCCACTGGGGCGGAGCCCGAAAGGATTTTTGGGATAATAATATGCTTTAATGTTAATCGGGAATGTGAGCTATCATCATGCCAAATTTCAGCCCAATCCGTCCAGTAGTTTATGCGTGATTGAGCAACACACACACACACACACACACACAAACACATAAAAAAAATAAAAATTTTTTAGATTTATAATATTAGTAAGATTGGATCAAAATAGGCTATATCCGTCAACATGCAAACTAGACTGTCTTTAAGGTCAATAACAATGGTTAGATTAGTTAAGTAAGAATGTTTAAGTAAAAAAAGTTTACTAACTCGATAAAAAAAATAATATGGGAATTTCTTAATTTACAGTTTTTCCTGTGTAACCATTAGGCGTATAACATCGTTTCAACAAACTAATTTTTTCATGTTCCTTAAAATTAATCTGAAAGAAATCACAAAATCCAGTGTTTTGTTTCCTATGTGTTGGAAACACCAATACCCCATAATCCCAACCCATTAATAATAACCTCCACTCCCGCTAGCTTTGAGCATAACTGAGATCGTGATATAAAATTAAAAACTTATTGACCCCATGGTGTCGATGAGGGTGGGGGCTGTCGAAGTCCAGACTGTTCGTACTGCCGAGTACCTTGGGGGTATAGTGGACAGCAAGCTTAGCTGGCGGGATAGATTTTCCGTATGAAGGATGGTTGATGGTCAATGTCGGAGGGCCTCAGTCCAGTTGTAGAAGGCTATTAATAGGCCAGCAACCACCAGGACGACGGGTTCGGACACTGTTCGGTATGCGGATGCTACTCTTAGTGCTGCCTGACGATGCGGCTCGCCCGAGTGCAGCGTCAGGCAGCACTAAGAGTAGCATCCGCATACCGAACAGTGTCCGAACCCGTCGTCCTGGTGGTTGCTGGAGTCATCCCCGTCAACCCGCAGGGGGCCCCCGCTTGCGTGGGTACGTGGCCTAGCGACCACGCGGAACCTAGCTAGCCCCCAGAGGGGAGGTAACTGTCCGGTGTTGGAATCGGCATTTCAAGTAGGCCACAGACATGGACGACTGGGCATTGGGTCCCAGTGACATTCCTTCATCCAGGATGGGGGGGGGGTGTTTAGCTCTAGGAGAGATGGAAGTGCATCATAATCTCTAACCTACCTGTGTCTGTGGTTCTTTGGGTTTCGGCCTGCTTGTTGTGTGCGACCAGCATTCTGTGTGGCAAATCCTCGACTTTGGAAGTTAGCCTTTCCTGGAGGTGAAAACGGGCAAGTACCCGTAGCTCATGGGGACACTCAAGGAAAAACGTAACTTTCCGCAGTGTGAGGGCAACGGTTTGTAGGCACTTATGCAAACCAATCCCTGTCTCTGATCACGGACGGTATGGTTATCTTGAGTGTGGGGGGTTCTTCCTGGAACCTCAATTGAGTCAAGGGTGTCGCCACCTTTGGTGGATAGGTTCATCCGGGTGGGTCCCACTTCTATACCTGCCTCCTTTTGGGAAACCCTGATGGCCTGGCAGTGATGTTGGGTCTGACGGGCAAACGAAGTAAATCGGGTGCTGGGTCCGAGCCCACTAGGGGTATCCGGGGATCTATCGCTCTGGTTATCTCTGGTTTCCCAGCAACTGGGTAAGGCCTCGATCGGGTAGTGGTGTAAATGGGAGTTTCCCCTTCCTTCCGGCTATGATGGCGGGTTCTGCCTGTCAGGGATTAGATAGGTCCCGAGTGTTGCTTGCACTAAATGCGTCGGGGCGCTCCATTATGGTCCTCTAGGGCTTTGTACCTAGTGGAACCCAGGTGGAGTGACGCTTAAACAAGTAGCCGGTATCCCTGGTTAGGATTGAGGGGCAACCCTTTTTCCGAAGGGTCTGCTTCGGCAGCCGGTGAGCCTGATGACCTTAAGTCATCCGCCTATGATGTGCTAAAGGTTGATGCGTAAGCTTCGGCCTACATCATGGGGCCCGGGTATGTCCTCAAGGACAGGTACCGGGTATGTAGTCAGGGGGCTTCGGCTCTCATTACAAGAAATCGAAATCGAAATCGAAATCGAAGTCATCCCCGTCAAACTTTTGACGGCAGAGAGAAAGGCAATTTATCAGCGCCGTGGGGAGGAGCAGGCACGAACAGAGGAACGCACCCGGACCTTCCAGCTGTGGCAGGAGATCTGGGAACAGGAGACACGGGGACGCTGGACCAGGTGACTGATACAGTAAGTCCAACCTTGGGTTAATCGGTGGTGCGGAGAGGTGAACTTCTACCTCACCCAGTTTCTGACGGGTCACGGCTTTTTCCGATCGTACCTGTTTAGGGTGGGCAAAGCCGTGTCACCCGATTGAATATACTGCCCAGCAAAGTCATTGCCGATGACGTGGAACATACCTTTTTCCATTGCCAGCGTTGGGAAAGGCCCCATCTGGAGGCTCAACAGTTAGTAGGACTACTGTTGGTGGACACGGTCATACCGATTATGACGAAAGGTGAGGACAATTGGACCTGTGTGTCACATTACATCCAGGGTATTCTCCGCGCCAAGAAGCTCGATCTTAACTGGGAAGCGGTGTAGGTCATAAAGAACCTTAATGCCAGAAACGTTGAGAGCCCTGAGGGCTTAGGTCACACGTTGGCCTGACTTGAAGTAATGTGACAAACAATTCCAGGTCTGTATCCAACCGAGTAGAGGGTTTTTTTTAGTGAGTAGTCTGTGATAGATTCAGGAGTCTCACACTACAGGCTGGCTACCTGTGTGCGTAAAAACATTTTCCCTCCTCTCCCTAAAAAAGTAATGCCTCCATGTTTTAGCTAAGTAATGTAAAATATATAGAAATACATAAGTAGTTAAAGAGCTATCTTCTTGATCAGGATTCAGTCATTTTGAACCAGAAACATGTCCTTAATTTTTATAATGCGATAAGCATTAAAATGGGAATCCTAGTTAAGTAGTAGTCAAAAGTTATATTCCTACATTAAAAAATTAATTACAGATACCTCGGATAAACTGACAGAGAGGGTTTGACCCAATAGTTACGCTAAATGTCCTTGACGACTAAGTATCAGGTGCTGAAAGTAATAAGCTATGGCATTGTGTTTTCACCATTATTTTATTTTATGACCATTCAAATTGAGGGAATATACGTAAATATATAGGGTAAAGTCATACATATGTACATACCCAGCATCTGCATACTTTTACTTAGTTCGAGTGCAGTTTCCCGAAATTTTGAATGCTTTAAGTATGGATTTCTTTGTTAAAATAGGTTAAAAAAACTCACAGCACAACTCAGTCTGTCTAATAATGTTGTGCGCCTTCAGACCGACTTTTAAAAACATGTTTCTTTACTAGATGCGACTGGGCCTTAACTAGCGATAATTTAATATATTCAATAGATGTTTTAAAATCTCAAATGTTTCGGGTGTAATAAAGGTTTAAGATACAGTATGTTTGACCTAAACCCATGTCCCATTCTGGTCAAACCTTACATTACAGAAGGCCGAGAATCATGCAGAACTGAAACGAAAAAAGTCAATGGAAAATGAGAATGACTATGAATACTCCAAAGACGAATTCATGAGCTTCCCAGACGTGTATAGACCTTTCCTGAAAAGAAAGCCTGAGTTTACGGAAGCTGATATGAGGGGAGAAATTGTCACTTTGTTCGCAACGGTAAATGGCATGCATGTACTGTAGTACTAAAATTTATTTTAAGAATTTTAAATTTAATTGAATTTTATAAAGATAACTACGAATTCTAGATGACACTTCACGACAAAATAAAAAAAATTGCCTAGATGAGAATTGATTAGAAATTTTAAAAACTTGTACGTTAGTATAGGCTAAAATTTGTTTCGCCCTGATATATATATTTCAGCTGTAAAATTAATTCATCATTAAATATATGTATATATAAATGTATATATATATATATATTTAATTATGAATTCATTTTACAGCTGAAATATATATATATATATATACGCACTGTTTAAGAGTATAACATTTTTAAAATATTGGAAACTAAAATACCATTTTAAATATAAACTTGTAATGTATAATGATTTTATAGGGTACTGATACGGTAGTCAACCAAGCATCCTACTTTCTCATGGCCATGGGACAATACCCTGAATACCAGGTAAAAATAACTTATAAGCTACAACATTATTCTAATTAGAATGTATCGTGAAACAATTTAGCCTTTTTCTTGTGTATTTATGATAAAGTTACAGCACTATTCAATATTTTTTAAATTTTGTTAACCCTGGTATAAAAGGTGACCTTGTAGATTTTGCATTTACATTATATTTCAGTCACTCATATGAACATAGTTAACAAATTTTAAATTTCCAATTAAAAATTAAAATTGAATGATGTAATTTCTAACTTACTACAGCCATTTTATTGTACAAAATATTTAGAAAAGTATGATAGCTTACTAAGCTAAATTCGATCATATTTAGACAGTAGGTTCATACTTTTTAATGGTTTTATGAAATAATATAGGCTAATTGTCCTACAGTTACCTGACAAAGAGGGCTGTCTTGTACTTATTATAGCCATCAAAGTAGGGAATTGCTGCATTTCATTAGTTTTGCCACACTTATTTTACTCTCGCCGCAATCATTTTTCCCACACTCCATTTTTCCAATCGAACAACACTAAAAAGTGTGCTTTTATTAGACACGTGATACGTGTACGCTTGAGAAATAAGTTGGCAACACTTAATAATACTACGAGTACGGTCCTAGAGGATTTAACCTAACCTACAACATGTTTTTAAAAGTTTGAAGGACAAATTAATTCTATGCTTTATAGTAACTACTAGCTGTGTACCCGTTCTACGCACGGGGATCTTATAATATTCAGTTGAAACCTTCTTATATAAAGAACAGCAGTTGGTTTGCATATTTTAAGATATGCTGGCCAAACTATTATACATAGCTTCATTTTATGTTGTTTTTTGTTGTTCCGGATCGGTATGACAATCAATAAAAGGTTAAATTACCTCTGTGTCTGCCGGTCGATCCTATAACGGTAGGCTTACTTTTATTTTTACTATCTGATCTCGTTTGCATGGCTCAATCACGTCCTGGTTGAAGTTCGTTCGCTACGCTCACTCACCTGTATGTTGGAGCTCGTTCGCTGCGCTCACTTTCCTTCAGGTTAGCTCGTTCGCTACGCTCACTTGCCTTCAGGTTAGCTCGTTCGCTACGCTCACTCGCCTCCAGGTTGCAAATTAGCTGTTGTCATAAATGTAAAAGAAATAATAGTGCTAGTGCTGCACCCTGTTGGTAATCCTTGTAACTTTAATGCTATTGAACATCACAGAACAGAACCAACTTGTTTAATTGAAACAGCTGTTAAGATTCAATAATTTCATTTCTCATAAGGTTAACATGGGCTTCCAGAAATTCCACGTCAAAAATCGACAAAAACTTGATTTTCAAGGGTTTACTGTTAAATATCTAACTGTCTCATATTCGATGAAATACGTCTAAAACCATCTCATATATGTATAGTATTTGGAAAATAAGTTTCAGGCGGGACAGTGCTATAGTTATTGAGGAGTAGTTGTAATAAAGTGCGTATTTTAGCGTTACCAAGAGAATGACAGATAGACAGACAGACAGACAGACAGACAGACAGACAGAAATTGAGATAAGGTTTGATTCGGTTTCTCTGACCTATGAAATGTAAAAATAACCAAAAAGTTCATTATTCTAAGCAATGTACAGACAAAACTCTAATTTTATTTATATAGATTGGAAAAATATAATGTGTGAAACGAGCGCAAAGTGCCTTTGCTACACTCAAGACACTTTCCAAACTCGCCTGCGGCTCGTGTGTACACACTTCTCTCATGTGCAGCAAAGTGCCACTTTGCACTTTAGTTATACAAATAAACTATTTTACAACAAGCAAAGGCTCCAACAAGGTCACACTGGCGAGCATTACGGCATGTTTTTTTAAGTGTGGCCTTGGCTCCAATAACAAAATTATATGAAATGTACTTGTTAAAGGACAAGCTGTATGAAGAGATCACCTCAGTTGTTGGTCCTGATGATGACGTCAGCACAGATCATATCCGTCAGATGACCTACCTTGACCAATGCTTCCAGGAGACTCTTCGTAGTTTCACCCTTGTCCCCTTAACCATAAGGAAAACCTCCGAAGAAATCAAACTGAGTATGTTGTGTCAGTTAAAATTAGCTTTCTAACTACTGACTTAGTAACTAGTAATTTATCGTCGTTTTAGCATTGTAGACATTTGTAGTTTAGTACACATTTTTTATTGGCAATACAGTTTTTGTAACTTTTAGGTTATAGTATCACTAAAAATTATATTTTAATAGAACATTTGTCTTTCTGTATCTATTGAACTTGGACAATTCATGAAGGCCAAATTTCAGGAACATAACGTAATGTAAAAATATAAATAAAGGTAAACCTTACTTATGTATGTATAGGGAAATTCGCATAAGATTAAGCACTTATTTTACTTGATACTTCTCTTTCGTATACTTCTATTTTCGTGAGTTTGTGGCTTAATTAGTAGCGCTGTGGACTTTGGGCCCAAGACAGCGATTTTATAGAATCGGATCTGTGACTAATTTTTCTCAGTACACTTCTCTCTTGTACTGTACAAGGGCTCACCCCTTTCTTTACTGGATACGTTTAATGCAGAGGTTTCTGTGACCCTTTTGGATGGGGAAATGCAAGGTAAAAGAGGCTGCCAAATGTTTTCAAAAATATAGTTATTCACGAGATGTACTACTTGATTACCAACCAAACCACAAAGTAAAAAAAGTTCTTATTTTCCAGGTGATTGCACCGTTCCAGCCAATCAAAACATAGTTTTGTCACTCTACGGGGTACACATGAACCCCAAGATATTCCCTAACCCTGAACGGTTCGACCCTGAACGATACTCACCAGAAAACGTCGCATCAAGAGGCAAACATGTCAACGTAGCCTTCAGCGGAGGACCAAGGGACTGCATAGGTAGAGGACAAGCTAGGCAATTAGCTACGGACCAACTGTGCTTAGCCAATTTATTAAGAAAAACATTATTGGTCAATGATATTGACTAATACGTATTGGAAGTCGTCTAATTTTAATTATATATGTTTTAACTACGTACCAAGCAAAATCCACCAACTATGTCTTAAGTTGGCATGCTAAAATTAAGTAAGTCCAAAAATTATGTAAAAATGTAGTGTTTTTCAAACGCATTCCATATTTTATAATCCACATGTTACCTGTGCAGGAAAGCAGTACGCATCGCTTCTCGTCAAAGTCTTGGTGGTGCAAATTCTGAGAAAATACAAAGTAACGCCTGTAGTGGATGTACACAAATTGAGGGTGATGCTGACCATTGTTATAACCAGCATGGAGGGATACTTCGTGGAGCTGACACCTCGTCATTAATACTTTTTTAATACGTTAGAAATTAACAATGAGAAGAAAGATCACAAGAAAACACATACTGTTTAAAATATCATGGTTTTTACAATTTTTGTTAGGTATAATGAACAATTCTAATAAGCCTCGTGCAAAAAGTGAAACATTTGAAATCTTATTTAGTAAATTATATGTTATCAATCAAGGTTCTCCGTTGTTACTAAACGATTTCAACATAATGCAATAACTCGAGAACGGATTGTAAGTTTTCTGGGCATATGACTATTTTAACTCGTGTTATTAAACCCAATGTAAAACTTTATAAACCTCAGGGAAAATAAAAATAAATACCGTTGGTATTTGAACTGCATTTACTTAAATGTTCTAAATATTTATTTTCCTTCCAATGACAATATAATCTCATCAAATTGTTGTTTACAAATTATTTGTAAATAGAGCATTTACGTGTAGTGTAAAGTAATAAGCATTTGGTATCTGTACTGCATGTAATAGGAAATTATAAGTTTGTACTACAACAGGATTACATTTTTGGATTTTCATAAACTCTCTTCTAAGCAAAAGGTTAGCTGTAGCCCATCCTATACGAATTCTTGTGATATTTTTAAAATGTATACACTATAGTTTATGACACAAGATTTATGGCACCAGAGAAACGCTTAAAAGACATTTTTATTTATTTAGTTTAGAAGGAATTGAGATTGTAGTTGAACCCAAATATTACTAGGTAATTTTGCTGAGAAATTATGATATCAGAAATGTTTCACCTAGGGAATCACGGGCTATCCATGGCTAATTAACCAAACCATTAATAAACAGTAGTCATCTGAAAATACAGTAAGATGGAAACATTGCCATTACTGTGACATTGGCAAAATAAAATGGTTACTACCTAATTAAATTTCAATCGAAACAAATTCAGATTAGTAATTCAACACCTTTAATTTTTCTTACCTAATTTTCAATGGCTTGGACATAGTTTTAGTATAGTTTCAAGAATATTTATTTCATCCTTGTCAAAATCTTGCCAAAAATTGTAGAACCATCGGGATTAGCATATATTTCATTATATAACTTCTTCTTTCTTTTGTTTAAATTTGGTAACCTCGAAGATGATCATTTGCAATATTTTATCCCAAAGTGGTAATAATAATCTCACTCAGTTTTCTTCTTTATACACGTTGTCTATTTGCTATATAAGAAATGAGTTAGTTGTAATTAAATATTCCATTAAAGTTTACAATCTGAGCGTTAAAGGCCTGCTATATAATTCAAGCGGCTTTAATCTAAGTAAAATGGTTTCCATTTAATCCACGTGGTCTGCAACTAAGGCTGTTCTTGGTAAACGGTTTATCTTTCATGTAGGATTTGTGATACATTGTTATATTCTCCTCATTTAACAGAATGAAACGATCTAATCACAAACAATTACTCGTCTCCTAGTTACATAACCAAACAGTAAAGCACAAATGATGAAATTGACTCTAAAATAATCCAAACGAAATTTTCTCGACACTAATGGTCACTGGTCAGTGTCTCCAACATGGAATGGACATGAAAAACAAGATTCATAGTTTACAATGGGATGAGAAGTCCACTTGTGTTGGTTGGCCTATGATAATACTGAATTTAACAGCAATTTCAGAACTATAATCATACAATCACCATTAGTTGAATTAATTGATGATAGTATAGAAGCAAACTAGTGAAATCTGTGTAGCTTTTATTATTCTGTTCTTGTTTTGTTGTTATTTGTTTTGAAGTTACACCAACCTATATCCAGTTATTTAGGTCAGAAATGACGGTTAGATGAAAGTATGGATACCTCGGCTAATTTATTTAAGGGGTTACCACAGGAAACCCCAATTCTGCACATCTTCGATTGGTATAAAAGTGCTTTGAATCGGTTTCCATAATCGGCATGTATATGAGGCAACTTAAAAGTCTTAAATATAAAGTCCCAATGAGTGAAACCGCATTTTAAATTATTAATATTACACATAAAAAATTAAAGATTTTTTTTTTATTATGTTTGGTTAATACATCACAGCTACTTATGAAATGAGGAATATAAAACCTAGCCTCACAGTGTTATCAATAAATGCTAGTGGAAATATGACCACAGCTACATAAATAGGGGCCATAAAAAACGTTGCTATACACGGTTTAACCATGTTGTAACTAAGAATTCTTTTGGCTATATTGTAAACTAATTCCAATGGTAATTACAAATCGGTTGCTGGTAAACCAAATCTGAAATAAGTTTTCACTCGATTTATCTGTTAGAACCTAACAGTGCGTGTAACACAGAGTAAGCCATTGTTTTCTGATTTAAAGCCAGGCATTCTTCCGCTTGAATGGTGACTGGGATTACTTCAGCAGGAAAGCTTGTCTGGAATCCACCAACAGCTACAACAAACGACTGCTAGGATTAACTTAACAACAGTTTGTGGGATACCATAGTGTTGGGCTGAATCATAACCTCTTTATCCTACCAACTGGGAAAACAGCTTAAAAGTTTCTTTACCATTTAAATGACTAATCTGAAGAATATAAACCTAGATATGAAAACATATTCTTCGGTTTAAATTCAATTAGCTAATATAAAATAGAACCAATACCGCAGCAAACCTGCAGACTAAGTTTAGATTTGCTACAAGGAAGGTAATAACTTTTTTTATACTAAAATCTTGATTGCTAAGCCATCAGCAAAACACTGATTGACAATGTTGTTGAACAACATTTATTTACAAATTGGATCAAAATAGGCTATATCCGTCAACATGCAAACTAGACTGTCTTTAAGGTCAATAACAATAGTTTGATTAGTTAAATTAGACAGTTTTAAGTTCATACAGTTTACTTGCTCTGTAGAATAAATTGCATGGGCATTTTAAATTACTGTACATTTTTTTTCAGCGTAGCCATTAGGCATACAACATCGCTTCAACATACTAATTGTTTTCATGTTCCTTAAAATTTATCTGAAAGATATTACAAAATCCAATGTTTTTTTCCAATGTGTTGGAAACACCAATACCCCATGATCCCAACCCATCAATAATAACATCCATTTCATAGTTTGGTAATGCTAGTTCTTGAAATCGTTCAGAGACATTTAGGTTTACTAAATTGCATTAAAATCTTATCACTTGACCATTATTTATTATTTTTGTTTGTACCGAGCTTAATTAAAACATTGAACATATAAGGCTATTTGATCGAGTACTTCAAATACTTATACAAACTACAGTATTTACGGTAAATGTTATGTACAGAATATCTTATTGCAGTAAATCGCTAAGCAACATGCTCAAGGGAAATTAGGAAAACGCTTCCTTCCGAAGAACCACAAACTTCTCCCCCTGGAGTTGACGAGGAGGTCTCCAACTCCCCGTAAATATTGGGTTTTATTTTGTAACTCATTTGTGTTACTAGGTTATCTTTGTATTTAAAGGTGTGTAGCCTTATGTCAGTATGGTTCTAACTACTTCACGTTTTTATTGACGACAATAATGTAAAACAAATACATGTTGAAACAAAGTAAAACAAATACAACAGCTGATGTATCTTCAATATTTGAATAGCTATTTACATTACAAGAGTAGTAAGAGCGTCTTTACATCACGCAGGTGAATGTTGTGCAACGATCGGTAGCGAGTTGCATAATTCTCCTAAGTGATGTAAACAAGCTCTTGCGTAACGTGTAACGTACAAGATTTTACTTGACCCGACAATATACACAGGAGGTTACGAAAAATTTTTTTCATAATCCATTTCACATCTTCTAACAGTAACGTTCAACAGCTAACAAAAAAACATTGTTCTAACAGTAACAAACAAAAGCTAGGTTAGGAAAATTCTTCAAAGCATAACAATAAAATTCAAGTGCACAGCTGATTTCTAGCGTTGAACATCGTTGGCTCCATAGAGGTATATTTTTTAAGTTAAGCACTCAATATTATTTAAATGGGTTTCATTTTTTTTTTTTTTTTTTTTTTACTTTACATCACTCGTGAAGTAAAGAAGTTGTATAAATCACGCTTGGGATAGGATAGTTTAACATGGCGGGCTAGGTAAATGAGATAAAATACATTCCTTTGATTTAGTTTCATGTTCTTATAAGAGGGTTTATCAAACAATTGATATTTTTTAGGGAAGTTTCACATCAAGACCTTTCATTGAACTATGTGGTTGAAGTTTCCGACTTATGGGTTTCTTAAAAGTTCAGATCCTCCTTAGCTTTATAGATTTGTTCCGTGTTTTTATGTTTTTCCAGTAAAGCTGTTAGTTAAGTAACAAAATCTAACCCTTATTAATAAAATTGATGAACTGGAGCTTCTAATTTAAAAGTATAGTTCGGAAAGTACCTGCTGCAGTTTTTTTTTTAATTCAGTTTTACTATATCTTTTAGGTCACTACGCAGTGTTTGGACATTGTTCTACAATTACAATACAATTAAAAGAATTATATTCAATAAATTAGTGCCATCAAATCTTGATAAATCATTGTATCCATTTTGTATCTTTATGCTTGAATAATTTACCACTATTATAATAACCCCAGGGGCTAAGAATGTATAAATTTTTTTATTCGGATCTGTTATAACCAACTAATATGGTACGTTTGTATAAAAAAAAAAAAAATGTTCACTCCTGTCATAAGAATAAAAATACGAAAGTGCATTCATCACTAAATTCATTTTCATTTTAACGAAAGAGAATAACGCTAAAATTGGCAAGACAATGCAATATATGCAATTCATATCTATATCGTGTTTATTCAAGTTTGATTTAGTACCCTTAAATAACAAAAAAAATATAAACAAGATAAACCTGTTATATTTTATATTTCAGAATTGATTTTTAAATTATCTCGCAGAAAATGTAATAATGAAATAGGTCAGTTTGGTTCTTTTAAGAAAAGTAAAAATATAAATTGCATTTTCTAGTTGCTAATCTCAATACTCTAGCTAGTATATTTACGAATGAGAAACCAAAAATATTTTA